ATTATGCTTATATTCTGATTATTCCGACCGTCGGTGATACGCCGCCGCGGCCGCCGACCACGCATTCATCTATTATCACGCGCGCGCGCGCACAGCCGCCATTGTGTTTCGGCATCAAATGTGCGGAGTGAAAAGGGCCGCGATGCCGCGCGCTCAAAAATGGTAGCATAATGGTAGTCGTTGTTTTCGTCGGCGCGCCGCGGCAATAAAGGCCGGAAAGCTAATTGTGATTAGCGTGTCGGCCGACCAACTCGGCCGGTTACAGTGTGATTGTGAGAGGCGAGAATGGGAATCAAAGAAACATGAATCGAAATTATTCTCATATTCCTACCTACCAAAGACTGAATAATATTGAGATTGTATTATTGGTTGCTTTGTGGCCATATTATACACGAAATTACTTATTGTACTCGGCGGAATTGTACGGATAATGAAGAAATCTTTATTTAAGTTGAAATAAAGTAGGCAACCAAATACACTCAACCACATAAATACATATAACCTGTATTATGTTTTATTTCTGTTATAAGCTAGAAAATTTAAATATTCATTAAGATAAAAGCTTTCGAATCTAATATTGTGATTAAGTTTTCGTAATTAAACGGTGCGTGGCACAGCACGATGAAAATATGACGTGGCGCCCATGATATGTAATGTGTCTAGCGCCCTGACTCACTGAGTCTTAATTAATAAACTCATTAGTCGTTGTGCTTGAGTAATTTCAGTTTATTCCACTTGCAATAGTTTGAATTGGTGCAAAAATCATTATTATGTTAATTTAAATTAAATATTCCCGACAATTTAAAAATTTCTGCGCTAAATTAATGGCAATTTAAATAAAATTACATATTTTATGCAAATACAATGTGTGATTAAAAATACCAACTAGTATTAGCAAAATAATTAAGTAACTAGAGCAAAACAATCAGAAATACTAATAAAATGCTTCTGCTAGCGCCATCTAGTGATTATTATGATAACTTTTAAGATATTTGTGTTTTTGTGTGTATTTTGTTTATTACATTTCCAGGTCCATGTCTACCGAGTTTAATACCTCCGCATAATGATAATTAACGTTCATTAATATGAATTAACTCATTACTGTTCCGTTGTGCGGCTAAATTTGCGTTTTACGAGTGCACGTCGCTCGCATTGGCGGAAATTTCTCCGCGCACGCTGTGAAAAGTTCTAAAAACGCAGACCCAGCGAATAAAAATCGCTAAATGTGCACGTTTAATGCAAATAGCCGTAAAGAAGAAGAAAAAACTCGCACGCAATGCTGTACTTATTACTCGCGGATAGTAATAGTACTTACATAATGCACGTCATAATGAAAGCACAGCTTGAGTCGAAACTTAATTATTCGGAAACTGTATATGTAGGTATAATACTGATGGTATAAAAATACAGGGTGTGTCAAAGTATAAAAACAGAGGAGTAGATCATTAAGTTTGTCTTTAAATTCGTCTTCGAATTACTTAATTATGAATAATTGGGATTATGATTACAATGGCAAAAACAAGTTGATAATTTGTTGATTTGTTGATCTGTTAATTAGAAACAAACGAGCAAAACGAACTTATTAGTTCTTAATGAACAATTGTTTCAAAATTAGACAATTAGATTTTGATTTGTAACACATTAGTGTCTGGAAATTAACTAATTATAGACAAAACGATGAATAGAAGCGATGATTCTTCATTTAAATATCGTAGAATTATTGTTCTCATTATTAATGAGATTAAATATATTTAAACAATGTTAAAAACTATTTAAAATGAAAAATATTTTTGGGATTAAGTTGCAAAACTTTGTAGATAACAAAGAATTTATGCACTAATCTTTAAATTACGCTTAAAAACAAAATTTTCTGAAGGTAATAAATAATAATAAAAACTTACCTTTAGTTTCATGTATTAAATGTTTCCGCCATCAATCGAAATCTATAACACACATAAAAAACCTAATATTAATTAAATTTAATGACATTTCAATGAAAAAAAACATTTTGCAAAATTAAAATAAAAAAACCAAATAACTAGTAAAACAGTTAATTGAAAATTAATAGCACAAATCGTTTATAAAATCGCAAAATTTAATCATAGTTAAATTTTATTAGATCGTATAAAAAGCAATAAAAATCTAATAAAATCCCGAGTTTAATTAAAGAAAATTGCTAATAACTGAAGATATTTTTAATATTAAGTAATCTAAAAATTAAAAATTATTATCTTAGTATTATGACAACTTAGTATTTCCATTACAAAAGTTTAACAATATGCAAATGAAAATAATGTCAGTAAAATACTAAATTTATTATTAATATGTTAACAAAATGTAAATATGTTAACATATGAAAATTACGTGCGGGAATTACAAGTTTCTCGACTGTTGGCACCACAAATCATCGATTATTTTCACCGAAGAAGAAAAACAACGCTAAAAACTCCGCGCAAAATAAATCTTGTTAAAATATGTGATTAATTTGTGCGTTGCTCACTTAACTACGAGTACAACCGCATGTTTTGTTTCTAAAGACGTCTAAAGCCTTTGTTGTCATCATAAATTAATGATGAAACTTTTACAACGTGTAGGTACTTACAAACTTTCATCGTTTCAACATTAAAATATTATGTTTACATATATTAAATTTATTTTCATAAAATAATGAATATTTAACCCAAAAAATGTTTTGTTTTCGAAATTTAAGTTTATTATCTGATTGCGAGTGCAAGATTTAAGTGATTCAACAAGATTTGTGATGCAATAAATTGTTCCACTTTTGCGCAGCGTTCAACAGCACAATCAGCAATAAATTCCGCATTTGTTGACAGCTCGCGGAAATAAACAACGCGCAGCCAGTTTTAATCGCTTAAACTTTCGGCACTTTTCAATACTTTCCGCCCGTGGACCGGAACGGGATGCTTTTTGGCTTGGTCTCAACGCGTGCCTCAAAACCCAGTGCAGTTGATCTGAGCGAGCAATTCAGATCACATACACACATGTATACGCATCGTTTTGTCATGGCTTATAATTCTGAGCGGCCGAGAAAGACCAGAGCAAGCGCGTCTGTGATGTTTATTATGTCGTGTGCGTCGCGTGTCGCGGCCGGCTGCCAGCGCCGACGGGGGGCGCGTTTTGTGCAGCCGCCCCCGGGTGGTCGTCGGGTTTAAACAATCCGAGAAATGTTTGCCGGCGCACGGGAGGTCGTCGGCTACCGATGATCTCAAATCGCACAACAGACGAGTGAAAAAAAAAAAGAATATAAAACCGAATCGGTGCAAAACGTTCATTCGCGCAGTCAAGGAGTTCGGCGCGAAGGGTGGCGGTGCAATTGTGGGGCATGCGGGACCCCCGGGCGATACGCACAATGCGGTCACCGGGACACACTGGGACGTACGCGACGCGCCACCCGGAAACACAAATACTGCAATTAGTATTCCTGCGAGCACACAACGTGTGCACAAGCATGAAGGGTGCTCAATTGATAGGAAATTATTAAGGTTAGTACAATTTTAACCACAAAAAACTTAACAGCAACCAATCATACACGTTTTAGGCAACCAAATATACAAACTTATAATTTAGACATTTTTTTCTTTAAAAAAATTATTTTTGACTTTCTAATCTCGAATATTCTACCGAAATGCGATTGACGTTTGTCGTTGTAAGTACAAATAGCACGTGTGTACTCTTAGCAGCATAACAATGCGCACCAGGGTGGCCCCGGTGCACCCGACGGCGGCGGGGCGCCTTGCTGAAATCTCCCGCCTTGTTATTATTATCATGCAAACGGAATTTAATATAGACTTTGACAAACCCCGTACAACGACCACTTATGAGCATGGTATGCGTCGCCATCATAGTGAATTTCATCTTGCGTCGATATTTGCATCTGCACAATCAACATCAATATCGACAACATACCAACACCTCTCTGCTAACTGACTTCTCTGCCATCAAAGGTTTCCTTACAAAGAGAAGTAAATTAATTTTACTAGTAGATAAATACCTAGATACTGCAAAGTATGTTTGGTTGTCTACCTTGCACAGAGACAAAACATTCCAGAAACTAGTTGCAAATGGAAATTCATTTGTCTTCATTTAGGTTTTAGTGAAAATGGAAAACTTTAGCGTAAACCTGTCACGTAATTGCGTGTTGGCGCACGTACGTTCTGTCACTATTATCCTGCGCACACACGTTGGTGACAGGGAAATTAATCGTTCCGAAGAACACGAAACACAAAAAATCAAACTATTCAGTTGTTTCACTATTGCGCACTGTCAAAATATACTGTCAGTGAATACATAGGCAACCCATGATGCACAACGCAAGTATAATAAATTAATTTTGTTTTTGCGTGTCATCAGATGATACAAACTTTCAGTTTTATTACATTAGTGGACATTAATGTGTGCACTGCACAAATATCGCACATTAATCAACATTTCTAAGCATTAAAGAACGATAATTAATTAAGCAGTCACATCAGCATGTTTTTTTTTGTAATAAATTTTGTTTTAATGTTCTTTTTTATGTTACACACATAACAAAAAATAAAATGTCGTATATAATCCAAAAAGAACTTCATTTCGTTTTATTGCTCATTTTCCAGTGATGTTTACAAAGTTTGTACCCATACACGAATTAGTTAACTGATGACCGTCAGTGTTGTGTTTATTGTGAGGTGCATAATCAAACCGCGAAATCGCAATTAAAATTAAAACAAACATTCGTTTCGACAAGAATAACCTTCGTCGTTTGATGTTTTTGTATTCAGTGTAATATTAAGTGGTCGAATCACGCAATAACTAATAACTACGTAACCTGCATTCCCATTATAAATTGTGCATACCAGTACGTGGAATTTGTTACAATGTTGAAAAATGTGATTATTTGAAGATGGACATACCCACGATGATTTTCCGCCTTGATAGCGCCGAAAACATGCAACCCACTGTACACCAAATAGATGCAAATTAAATGGTGCATTTCTGTGCGCATAAGCTGATTGTTTTGCTTGATTACGCGAGCCCCGGACTGGAAAAATGCCGATAATCATAGCCATCACGAAAGGCATTCAACATACGTGACGTTGTTTGTCTACCCTTGACTCCACGCCATAAATGAAAATTTCGAGAGTTGCATTTGTGAGTTGTCGAAATGTTGATAACAGTAACAGAGGTGTAGGGGATTATTTTGTGTTTAACATGGATTTTTCTGATTCTATTCGACCTCGACGACCACTGCACAGTCGCGCTTGGCAATTGAACGCATTGGAAAATTTAACGTTAGTTCCGAAACAAATGTCAGCGGTTCAACCGGAATCTGGTAGTGTGGAACTGTTCCACAAGTCACATCCGTCACAAAATCTTTATACTGGTCCGGATGGGGTTATTCGGTATCCCATTTCGGTTATCACTCAAGAAATGTCTCATAAAGATGAGAAACTTAAGTAATTGAATTTAAAATTAAAAAATTGATTATGTTGATGTATTTTATATTTTTTTCACAGGGAAACAGATGAAAAGAAAGATAATATTTGTAAAAGAATTATAATAAGTGTACATAATGCTCTGGATGAATATTTTGTTTCTTCTACATTGCATGGTTTGAAATATGTGGGTGATGATTCATTGAGTACATTCGAAAGGTAAAATTTAACATAAGAAATTATAATTAAACTGATATATGTGTTTGGTTGCCTAGATTATATTGGTTAGCTGCATTTATCGCCGGCCTTTGTTTTGCCGCGTATTTTATTGTGAGTATTTACGCTAAATTTGAAACCAGTCCAATGGTAATCAGTTTCAACCCCAAATTGGTATTTATCAACACTATACCTTTTCCTGCAATAACAATTTGCAATGTTAACTTGGCCCTACGGTCAAAGGCAATTGAAATTGAAAGAAACGGGTAAGTAGCTCTTGAAACATAACCTCCAAAATTTAAAAAAATACAATTGTATATTTATATTCTATTTAGAAATGCAACACAGCGTGAATTACTAGGTGACCTTTGTAATTCTCAATATGGTCAGCATGCGGATGAAATAAACGCAGCAAACGCAACTGACTGGCACACAATTCAAGCTTTTACAGTCAACGTTAATCAAAAATGTGATGATTTAGTAAAAGTTTGCAAATGGAATGGAGTAATAGTGAAGTGTAACGATTTTATCAATTCAGTCCTTACAGATGAAGGATATTGCTGTGCGTTTAATCAATTACCATTGAACATGACTCTACGAGGAAATTTGTAAGTACTTAATGTAAAAAAGTACTACAATCCTAACCTCAATTCAAAACTTTCATAATGCAGTAGCGACAGGGGAAGTTTCCCAAAGAAAATTATCAATTGGAATGCTGAATATGGTTATGATGACTCCGATAATGACACATACCCTTTCCGGGCAACAGGTCAAGGCCAAGCTTTAGGTTTATCACTAGTTTTGGATGCACAATTGGCCGAATACCACTGCACTTCAACAAACAGTATCGGATTTAAAATGTTGTTATCCGCACCTAATGAACGACCACGAGTTGCTGATGTTGGATTTTTGTTATCACCTGGAGTGGAAGCAAGGATTACTATATTGCCTGATGTTAAGGACGCTACAGAAGGCGTGAAAAATATTCACATTGACAAGAGACAATGTTATTTTGCCAGGGAGCGTCATCTGAAGTTCTTTTTAGTTTATACCGAGAAGAATTGCAGACTTGAGTGTATATCAAATTATACAATGGAAAGGTGTAATTGTGTGCCGTATTATTTACCAAGTAAATATTTTAAAAAATTAATATGGTACCTAAATGAGAATTAATTTAATTGTTCTGTTTTTAAGGAAATCCGGAAAATCCCATTTGCGATCGCTCAAAAGAAGAATGCTCGAACCTAGCTATATCCGTAATTGATCGATTTACCCCAGAAAGGTACAATTTCAACAAAATTTACTATAATAGTAGGTATATTAAGTATCAAGTGGGCTAAACGGTATTTTGAGGCACGAGATTGAATGAAAGCCAGCGTAGCAAGCGTTTAATCGATCGATGTTTAGCCAGGTGATGCTTATGCTATTATTTCTAAATGCGCATGTGCAAACTCCATCCCGTGACTAAAACCCATTACTAAAATACTTTAGTCACGGCCTTGGGCGTCCGCGTTTCAAGTACCACTTTATGTGGCTCAAACCCTTGGAAAAACTCGCGCTTTCAAAATAGAAGTAGAAAAATATATACTTTTGTGTTTTGTTTTATTTTTTTTAGACTTGCGTGTCGTTGCCTGCCATCTTGTCATGACATCTCATACAAACAAGACGGAATGTCTACTGGTTCAATTGAAGCTAAATATGACACCGTTAATCAGGATCTGTTAGAGAATGTATCCACGCAATACTTCTCGTAAGTATTTAACTTGAGTGCAATATGCGTATTAGCTTTGCGTGCTCGTTAAGTCTAAAGTATTTCAGAGAGAATATGGCAGTGGCGCACTTCTACTTCGAGATGGATAAATACACGAAGCAAACAAAGAGCGAGATGTATGGATTTTCGGAGTTTTTATGTAAGTATACAATATGAATAGTTGTCATACCTTGTTAATTAGTTATTTGTACTGCTTTCATCGAAATAAATGCACTAATCACTTAAAATTATCTTCGATCACACGAGGTTTCACATTTGCACGTTATACTGTCAGCAAACAATTGACTAATGGTATTTGGCGTGCGTTGTTTTGACCGCTATTTGACTGTGTGAGTCAATGATACGACTGTTGATGCTTTTGTTTACGTTTGTATCTTGCATCGATTGTTTTGATCGTGGTTTTGATTTTGAAATAAAACTAGACATGTTTTAAACTAAAATTACGATTGCAGCTAATACTGGAGGTTTGCTAGGACTGTTTCTTGGATTTAGTTTTCTCAGCGCAATGGAAATTGTTTATTTTATTCTGTTTCGCGGTCAGTTTCGTTATTACCGGCGTTATAAAGCACGCAGATTGAAAGAAAAACGTGAAAAAGAGAAAACATGGGCTAGTTTACCTTATACTCAATAGTTGCATTCACTGTAGGCGATTGAACAATAATTAATTACTTTTTAACCGTCTTCAGCACTTAAACTTCTCAAAATTTATCACAGTGTGGAGAATTTGTTCGCCTTAAGTTATGCAACTATGTATACACCAAAACATTGTGATGCCTACAATAAATGTGACATGTTAACGTTTAGAAAAGCAATAATAGAGAAATATTAACAATATCAGCTACGTTTTTGAATGAAAATAGAACGTAGAATGTTCATGTGAGTATTTACTTTAGGATAAAATAGGATAAACTCCAATTAACTCGTTGTTAAAAAAAACTTCTCTATAAATATTTACATCAGTTTTATGCCTGAACAAACTAGAAACTACAGTTATGTAATATTTACATTAATAGATTAAACAAAGTTCTGTTTTCCTTAATAAACTATTAATATTGATTGTTAAAATAATTTGCCTCGCCGTCAAAGTAATCACATTCAACACGCCAGTGTAAACCATTCACGCCAACAAATCTTCATCACATTCACATACGTCCAATGTCAATATATTCAATGCTATGTTATGTTAGGCTAGTAAAAACCGAATTAAACTACGAGTAACTTAACTAACTTTGTAATCGCTTCGCGTCGCCTTCTTCACTAACACGTCAAGAAAAATAAATTGCATATGTAACAATGTTAAATATATAAACTCTTTGGTTTTGACACTTAAAAGTTAATCACCAAGTAGTTAGCACCAAGAGACACAAAAGAAAGATTCAATGATAAACAAGAAAACAAACCTAGCGGCTGTTTCAACACGGCAAATTATATGGCTTTGTAAAGCATCTCATTCGATATTCTCAACATTCATCATACATTTACCAAACCAATCAAACATTCAACGTTCTCGACATTAAAAACGTATCAAGTTGAAATTGAAATTCGCGTATGGTAAGTGCCGCGCGATTACACGTTTACATCGCGCGAGGTGCTCGCCGGAGCCGGTACAACAAGCGCATCCTCAGAGGTGGTAGAATAAGAATCGGAACTGCTACTGCTGGAGGAAGCTTCTGGAGCTGGAATAACAGGTGCTCGTTCCTCTTGTTCACCATTGATGCTATGACGATCAGCAAATAAACTGCTGATTAATTCACGCATGAAAGCAGAGTCGCGTGTTGATATAGGTGGCGCTGCACCACCGGCAAGCAGCGGTGTCGTATCATCCGAGTCGGTGTCATTCTCCGAATCGGAATAACGCGTCTCATCCTGTGCAAATACTCGACGTTTGCACACGGGGCACACACGGCGATTCTTCGTTAACCATGGGTCAATACATTTGGAATGATACGCTACATTGAATAATTATGAATGAATATTGTTTTTAAACACCGTAATTTCAATATTTACCATGTGCGCACGGCAAAACACGCAGTTTTTCGCCATCGACATAATCATCCAAACATATCGCGCATGTTTCATACGGATCACCCTTCTGGAACTTATGCGTTGGTATTTTATTTAAAGCCGATGAGCTTAGACGTTCCCTTCGTTGTCTTCTCCTGTCACGTACGCATTTTATCACCTACAAACCACAAGTTAATTAACAATTCCTAAAATAATTCGATGAGTAATACCATAAAAACGACCATGACTAGAAAACACATCCCGACAACAATGAGGAAAGGAATCAGTAAGTTGTTCCAGTTGATACGCGTCTCAGCGTTGATAATAATGAAATAATCTGAATTATTGGCATAGATGTTCGCCATCATCAGGCCGTCACTTTGGCTGACGAACACGGAGGGAATGTGGATGCCTGTTGAGTTGTTTGCCGACATACGCTCAAGCGCCTCGGAACCGATGTTGTGGACGATGACGGCGTCATAGTTTGCAGTCTGCGCGTTGCGTACTTTTTCCTCAAAAGAGCAATTGAAGCGCGCTACCAAGAGAATCCAGCGACCAGTGAGATTACTGACATTTTTAGGCGCCTGTTGCATTGGTCCGCAGCCATTCGGCGGATCAGAGTACAATACCATGCCGTGCAGGCCTTCATAAGGCAAGCCGTTGCCAAACAGTGCCGGTTCGTCATACATTTCTGCTTCGATGAATCTACCCTGCTGAAATAAAATTTAAAATTACTCATAACTTGATCATTATGATGACAATGAACTTACAGTAAATAAATTTAAAGAGTAAATACTTTTTTCAGGCAGAGAATTATTTTATTTTGATTTTTCAGCAGTAAACATAGAATTTCTTGGCAAAAAGCAACAAAATTTGTTCAAATCACAATGAAAATAATAACAAATAAGAATATTTGAAAAATAACTCATTTAAAGCAATAGTTTCTAGATAAGATAGAAAAACTGTGGAAATACTTTAAAAACAAGCACGTTTCTCGCATTTAAAACTAGTTTTTCGCAAAAATAATCATAAAATGTTTAATGAACTTACATAAGGTAAAATAAGAATGTCCCCTGACGCGATGGTCATTGCCGTCAGTATAATAAATCCAAAAGTCCACATTTTGTCAGGTTTTTAGTCAAGTTCTGCTTCAAAAATCACAATAATTTCACTCCATTACCATGGCGGCGGCAATTGAAAGTCTCCTGCAAGTGAACACACACAAGCATACATTACAACCCAAGTTAAATATAATTATCAACTAGAGTAATACAGTTACAGACACAATTCAAGTTTCAAGTTTGACATTCACAACATCGTGGTAATACCGCTACGCAGTTTATCAGCTGGAGGAAAAAAAACCTTGCAGCATACTGGCTTAGTTGGGTATGACTGTAACTAGCATGCAACTACGTAAATAAGCCTTATCGCATTTAGCAGTATGCAGAGCAGTAAAGATCAGTGTTGATAATACACATGTATGCGTACATTCATGGGATAATCACCAAAGCAAAAGCAAACGCAGATATCGACACCATGTTCGGTATTAAGCAATCGCGGACGAATTAAGAATTAATCATTCATACGCGTCGCTGGTGTTTATGTTTACACGCGTTAAGCAAAGACGAATGATTAAATGTGCCACTGCCACTGGTAATGGAGATCAGCTGATTGGAGGACAATATCAACGTATATCAAGTCGTGGTATCAGCGGAATACTGGAACTTGTTATGCAAACCGCTGCCTCGACTGTTATTATTATATCGGTTGGATCTCGGTTGAAACAATGCGAATTTCTATACCCGATGTCAAGGCGTTCCGTTCGTGCGGTCGCCGTGCAGTTTCGTCCGTTTGTTGGATTTATCTCGGCTGTCATAGGTTCATCGGACAGAGGATCACTGCGACGAAGGGTCACGCACGCACTCGCATCGATTATTCGCACTGGGTTTTTTTCTGTTCGATTACGCGCACTGCACTGTTGCACTTGAATAATGAATGTAAATGATGGAGGCGATGTAAACACCTTGAACGGTAGGCGAATTGCTCATCGCTGCTGCGCGCTGAGTGACACAGGCTGGTCGTGTAAAAGTGTAGTGCTTAGAGGGCGCCACCGAACAGACAATGATAAAGTAGTAAAAGTTTGCTTTTGCTTTTCATAAGAAACAAAACCTTAACGCGGCGCCGATTTTAAAACCTATTTAACAACAATAAATAAATGTCATTAATTTAGATGTAAACGTAGACTTAAACACTCATACCTATCAATATTTATCGCAATTTTAATCTTCTTACAATGGTCAATGTTAGTTCATAATTTACTCGCATGGGGGCAGCACCTACCGGGGACAAATTATTTTTAGCGCAATGTTTACTCGTAGCTCTCAACAAATGCATAAAGCATTATGCGCCTCCACAATTAACAAAGATTAATACTAAAGGGCAAAATTCACACTGCAGAAACCTTGCCGACCACATCGTCACCATAGTATCAAGTAAAATTCATAATCAAAGTTTTTCACATTTTGAACTTGCAAAGTTTTGAAACACCAACAAATGCAAAACTTTAGATTTGACGCAGAGAATAACAAACGATGTATGCCTTGCTTTAACACATATATAGAGATGAGCAGTTTGAGTGTTTAAGGGCAGTAATGGCGCATTTCAATTGGAAATAATAAAAAAACTTGTTTTTATTTCACTTTTCTTTCATCTTATGCACACTATGCATATTTTTTTATTTGTTGTTGTTTTGTTGCTGTTGTTGCTGGAATATCTTAATCCTAATCAAAGAGACCAAGACCCATGTCATCATCAGATTCCTCTGGCTCTGGTTCCTTCTCCTTCTTGGCAGCGGGTGCAGCAGCTGCAGGGGCGGCCGCAGCCGGAGCAGCACCACCAGCTGGGGCGGCACCGGCACCAGATCCGATGTTGGTGATCAGTTCCTTGATCTTAATGCCTTGCAGGGCCGAAGCGAACAAGTCAGGCCAGTACGGCTCCACATCGACACCAGCGGCTTTAATGATGGTGGCGAGCTTGTCACCCTAAAAATAAATGATTTTATGAGTAAATTATTAATAATTGGCACTTTAACAAATTATAAAATAGTCCGATGTTTGATTATTCCCGAAATAAACGAAGATTTACAAAGCAAAACATGCAAGATGCAGGTTATGTTTATATAGTTGTTAGGTAAATTTGTTAACTTACGCTGACGTTGACGTCGTCATCGGCCAAGATGAGCGCGGCGTACACGCAGGCGAGTTCGGCGTTGGTGGACATCGTCAAAGAGTTTTTGTACGATTTGCAATTGTGCAAGTTGCCTTTGGAAAATTGGCCTTAGCTCACGAAGAGAACAAGCACTAGTCTCTACGGTGGTTAGAACCGGAAAGAGAGAAGTGCGCGCTTGATAATTTCTATGTCACGTGGTTTGGTGACTTTTTTAGGGAATTTAGTTATGCCCAAACTAAAATCCGAACTTAAATTACATTTTACGCCATAATTTAAGACTTAATTTACATATTCTAGTTATGTAAATGATTTAAAGTATATAATTTAATTATTTGGCATAGAGATTTGTACCTAATAAAATAAATTAGAGCTTTTTAAAGTGTTTTAAGAAGTCCAACTGGTAGCACTAATATACCATGTTGATAGTGATGACAGGCCGCCTAAATGTCATAAAAAACGCAAACAACAAAATATGACGCAATTCGAAGTAAATATCTTTGAAGCCGAGTGATTATTTCCAATTATCAGATGAAAACAGTGCCATTACGTTTAGTTTACCTCGCAACTACATGAATGTGAATAAATTACATCATGTCTTCATAGACCAGGAATAACGCATGTAAATCGAAAGAAAAAACGATAAGAATAGGACCTAACCTCTTTGTTTACGGTGGTTTCGCATAAAAAACGTTAAAAATAGGATGGGAAAACGCAAATGCAGTGCAAAGGATTGCCCTTCGGCTGAAACCCGAAAGGAAGACATGGGTGTAACATTTCATAGGCTACCATCAAATCCTATTAGCAGACAAAATTGGCTGAAACTTTGTCATATAGAAGAAGATGAAAAAGTACGTTATGTCTGTTCAAGACACTTTTTAAAGGCAGATTTTGGCAACTACAAATATAAATTTGCTCTGAAGCCTAAAGCTGCACCATCAATTTTTGCATGGACAAAAAAACCTGCTCCTGTAGAAAAATCAGAGCCAGAGCCAACAAATAGTAAAGTTTTATCTGATAATGAGACCTCAGTAAATCCAAATAAAAGGGTAAGAAAGAAGAAGATAAATCCAGATTTTGTTACTGATGCAGACTTTAGAAGAAATAAAGAATCTGTGGATAGTGATGCAACCTGCTCAAAAAGCACAGATGAAGACACAGCTCAATCAGAAGACAGCTCATCTGGTGATTTACCACCTGTATTAGAACCTGAAACAGCTTCTCCAAGTGAAATGCATGGAGAAGTTGGTCAAATTCCTAGTTTAGAACCATCCACACCAAGTCAGCCACCTAAAACTAAGAAAAAATCCAAAAAAACTAAAACTATGTCCAGTGAAGATGCACCAGTAGCTAAAAAGAAACAAAAACTAGTATCCAAAGATATGTTGCCATCTACAGTAAAACCTCTTTTATCTGGTCAAGGCCAATCAATAATTAAAGACAGAATTATTGTCAAAGATAAATGTTCACCTGTACAGTCATCTGCAGAAGGCAAACAAGAATCAACAACAAAATCTAAAGATACAAATGAATCAAAAGAGGCCAATGCAACATCATCAACCTCTTCAGAGACTCAATCAACAACAAATAAACAGAAAAATCGGCCAGCTGATACATCAAACACACAGTTGACGACGTTTGAGCCAAATACAAGAATTGAAGCGTTGGATATTAATCAAAAGTGGAGTCCAGCAACAATAGTTGAAGTGGATTATGAGGAGAATGAAGTATTAGTTCATTTTGACTCATATAGTAATAAATATGACGAGTGGATCGGTATAAGTAGTTCATCTATTCGAGTACCTTCCACCGATGAACAAGTCAAACAAGATGGCGTCGACGAGCCGGAGCCAAAAGAATCAGAACCTGAAGTTTCCTACAAAGCCGGTGAACGATGCATGGCGTATTGGGGTGATAAGAAGTTTCCTGCAACTGTTAAAGAAGTTATCAATCAAGGTAATTAATTGTTTTATTCGAATATTATTTAGTTTCTAAAATAAAATTTAATTTTTATGATTTTGAGTGCATTTTGTTTTTGTATTTTAAATTAGAATATTAACTCCGGATCTGTATAAAATGTTCGGATTGAATGTAAACTATGCGTTTCACAATGGTTTCACATCGTTGCACTCAATTCTATTGCACTTTCTATTTTATGCCTCTTGTAAGTTACATTCACTTCTCTTCAGAAACATATGTTGTGAAGTTTGACGACGGCTATGTCCAGAAGTTGCGTGCTAACAGGATGACCAAATCTTCATCTTTGTTTCTGCCTATCAAGAGTTCCAAACAGGAGCGTCGCAATAAAAAACGCAAACTCAATGTGCAGGCGTTGTTCAACAAGCGGATAAAAACGAAAAACAATGCATCTTTTGACGCGGCACCAGCGACTGACGAAGGCTCCTCAGCGGACGAAACACCAGTGAAGGGCGAGAATATAGGATTTTTTGATCGCGAAACTATTTGGTACCCAGAGTAAGTCAATATCTGCAGTATAATACTTAAAATGTGCAATATAACGCATTTTTTTCTTTGAAGCTTTGAAAATGGCGTGCCAGTCGGTACTCCATCGCAGTTAAAGTCGAAAATTGGTATTCGCGACTCAGTAATTGTACCGGATCCTAATTTACCGGAGAAATGGGAGAAACACGTCCTGCAACGAGAACGTGGCAAGTTTTTCAGTGTCATCGTAACGTAAGTTAACTTTTTACACATAAAATTACACATCTATATTTATCTACACTATAAATTAAATATTTGACAGTCCGGAGGATAAAAAACTTCGATGTCCAGCCGATATCCAGCGTTACATTCAAGATCACCCCGATTTTAACTATCAGGACTACCGGCTTGACTTTAACGTAATTCCGCGCAACCAACCTCGAAACCGCGATCGCGTTCAATCACAAGAACGCAAATCTCTTGATCATAGCGACTGCGATAACTCACCACAACCCCCAAAAGGTGATTCGTTCAAAATTTTAAAAGTCGACGGCGTTTTTCAATGTCCGATTGAAGGCTGCGGTAAGAGCTATCGACGCGAGAATCTCGTTCAAATGCATGTCAAACATTACCATCCTGAGTATACCAAGTTCCTGGATTCTACACCGAATGTCCTTGATCTGGTCTATCAACGTTTGCACGGCGAAGAGTTTGAACACTCACCACCAAGTAGGAGTTACGATTATTATAAACGCGGATCGTTTACGCCTATCGATGAACTTGGAGACGCGCACGAATCTGAATATCAGAAGGATAGCGAGATTAAGAAACTGTTGAATAGCACACCAATTGACGTGCTCGGCTCTGACTCGGGAAGTCAAGGTTCTGGTATGGGCACGAGTGGGGAGGTTATGGAGACTGGGCCAGATTTGAAAGCATTGGTGGTTACAACGAAAAGTGGCCTAAAGACAATACCACCTGTCAAAAAGGAGATTCGAGTTGAAGAAGAAGATCTGAGTGAAGCTGATGCGACGATGCATGATCAACACGTGCCATTACCAACACTGCCGGGGTTGATGGATCATATAATTGGCGAAGGTATATTAAATTTGCGTATCTTATCATACTTTTATCTAATCGATTTTGCATTTTTTTGTTTGGCATTTCACTGCACTGTATTAAATTATAGCCATAGTTACAATATAATTGCCATTAAATATTGCTTTCTGTCTGTAGACGGGAAAGTGATTAAAATCGAACAGATGCGTAAGGAGGAGATCATTCATTGCACTTGCGGCATTACTGAAGAGGATGGGTTGATGATTCAGTGTGAGATTTGCATGTGCTGGCAACACGCACATTGTAATAACATTTATCGCGAGACGGAGGTGCCTGATAAGTACGTGTGCTTTACTTGTCTCAATCCACACGGCCAGCGGTCTAGCATGAAGTACCGCCATGATCAGGACTGGCTTAAACTCGGCCGTTTACCAACTGGCAGTTATCATGCTCGTGATGAAGATGTCCTACGCAAACGTTTTGAAGATCTGAAGTCGTCTCATGATATTAGTGGAGGTTTGCTTGAGTTAAAGGATTATATGCATACATTGAAGCAAAAGATTAAAATTGCTGAGTAAGTTAATGTTTGAACAGAAGGTAGGCAACCATCTATGCATGTATTACTTTTATTACAGGACGAAAAATCATCCAAAGTTATATCTGTGGTCTAAACCGTGGGAAAAGGGATGTCTTCCTGAGAAGAAACCGAAACCAGAAGATATAAAGCCAGAAGTAGTGCCTAAAGATGAAACACCAGAAGAAGAAAATAAATGCGAGCAGTCCAGTGCGCCTCAACCGGAAGCCCCGATTGAAACTGCTGACTGTCGTCTCAACCTCCTCGAGCACATCTTACATTGTCAATCATTGATTGGTGAACGTTTGACTGATTTCTCTAAACAAATGGATGAGTTAGAAGCTTCAGAATCAATGGATGAAGAAGAGGATAAACGTATACGATTAACAACCAGCATGTTGGTTCGCGATCTCGGCAAACTCAAGGATTTATCGCACATGATATAATTCGTAGTTTATTTTTATTAATTACAGACGATAATAAGTTATTACTCGCTAACTTTAACGCTAGAATGTCTAGAAAGTGTCATATGTTTGACATGCGTGAGATTAGACTTCATCGACATCTGCATCATCTTTGAAAATATCGCGCATCCTGCCCAAGCGACGTACTTCGTTACTCGCAGCAGTATCAGGTTTCTCGCAGATATAGTGATAGCGCACCGAACAGTCGGTGCCACGATAAGCGTATGATCGAAGTTGTGCGTCGTATGTCAAACGAAGGCAGCGGCCATCGCCGGCAATAAGTGTCGTGGGTTTCTTGTTCTTGTCGGTGGTGGCAACTGGTCTTGCACTGCCACTCCAGATCCATAACAGGCCAGGGTTCAATCCGCTTGTCCAGAAATCTTTACCTGTGTGTTAAATTTAAAAACGAATATTTAGAAACAGGATTCATTGTCCGCCATATTCAATCAATATGTAAATATATGTATATACCGCGTAGCTGCGAATTGCTTTGGAGGTATGTGACAATATCCTGGTTTTCTTCAATGGACTCCAGCTCGACGAGTGCAGCGCCTAGCCGTTGGCAGTGTTTGCTAGCTGCTTTCCAATCAAGCTCACGGCCGGCGTTACTGGCGAAGAAATAACACTGGTGGTTGACACGTGTGAAGTTGTCTGCGCATGGCACTGTAGGCAAGCGAATTAATGAGTTTTGCCATGTGAATATGAGTATATTTTGGCAATGCGTAAAAATGTTTGAATATATTTTTTATATAAAAGTGAATGATGTGAAATATGCATACCTTCGTCAATTCTGTTGCCCGCCATCATGAAATACATCATCTCCTCGACTCGACGAAGCCGTTTTTCCATGAAATCAACACGATAGACAAGTTTTTCAATAGCTCCTAGTAGATATAGGTCTGTTTCAGTAACTTGTCTGGTTGGAGGCTTTTTATTTACTATTTTTGGTGGGACGTTCGGCTTGGGTTTGCCGTTCAGAGACGAACCTGAGGATATTTTGGATTCTTTATCGTCTGCGGGCGCATTTACTTGATTTGAGATTTTTGATGTTGCTGTGGTGGTGGTTTCTGCCCGCTCTAATGGAATTTCTATGTATTTATCAGCACGTTGGACAGATAACTCGATAGGGCCATGGAACTGCATCACACGTTTCTCACTGGAGAAGAAAAGAAAATAAAACAAATTTATAAACAAGATTATGAGTAAATTGTTGAAAATTTGAGCAAAATTTTTACTTGATATGAAATGGCCTTTCCTATTTTCGCTCAATAAGTCATTAAAACATTGGCATATAAATATTTATTGATGCAAATAATCGTTGTCGTGTTTTGCATAACAATAACAAACTGTGCAAAATTATTGCTCGTCAATAAAACAGAAAGTAAAATATACCGACGACATTAACTTAACTTTCAACGCATGAATCATGTCGAAGAAAGTTGTTATTTCCCAAAACAAATAATGGTAAAGTCAATTGACGTAAGTAACTTCAACACAGTCAATATGCAAACTTCCAATTTACTTACCGATGATTTGCCAACGTCCATTCTTCTAACATCGGTCCCCAAACACCCTTTTCGGTCCAGTAAGCAGGATTATCTTCCATCGTCGAATGCGTTTTTGTTTCGTTCATCAAATAAATTCCCATTGTATCAGCAATACAAATCGCAAATATTAAAAACACAAAAGTGTTTAAATTACTCCGCGTGTTTTTCATCTTGTAGAAACTCTCTTGCGGCAGAAAGTGAGTTTGTTCAAGTTTTTGAAAGTTTTGAAGACCCGCACGACTTCTTTGCCGGCCACCGCAACACTAACAGCGTGTGTGTATGGTACCTGCATGGTCATCGGATGTAGATACGGATAAACCCAAACAACACAAGACCAGCCACACTCTTCTTTGAATTATACGCGATCATTTGTACGAGTAAACGGTGCGGTCCACTCTCTCTTCGGCTTCATGGAAATCGAACGCGCTTGGTTGTGTCGTGTGGCGTGCGAATAAATGCTCATGTTATACATGTTGACTTGTAAATGGAGGCGGATATGAAATTGGCTTGAATTGAATTAAAGACCTTATTTACATGCATTTGCAATTGCATGCCGGCCATTGTAAAAGCAATTCAGCGGTTTTTGTTTATGAAAGTTTACAATACATAATTGACAATGAAAGTCAAGTAATTTTAAGTAAATGCAAAGCGGTTTTTTTAGTTTAGAAATGTAATTTAGTTTTACCAAAAGTACACATTTTTGGATATGGTATTATATTATACGACTGTATTTAAATTTAAGAAAGACTGAGTTGAAATTTAGGTCACGATGTCAATAAACGAAAAAACCCACATGCTTCCATAATAATTCATGGCGGTTTGTTTACCGTTGCCATAACTTATATTGATAAAGTTTATGTTATTGTAAAAGTGTAAATTATACTGCAGTACATCCTAATTTATTAAGCAAATAGTACCAAAAACAAATCAAAACTTCATAAAAACACTACACATCAAATGTTTAAACATTTCCGAATCGATCTGTTGAATAATGGTTGCATTGGGTGGCGTTTTATTGAGATGATCCACAACCATTTGTCCACGTGTTAATTTACCGTGCAATTCAACATCAAGATAACGGCGCATCTTATTCTTCACTATATCGGGATACAACATGGCGGCAACAAGAAACGCGTCACATGGCAACCATTGGTCCATATTTTTATAGACGACTCTTTCGGCGCGATCAATTAACTTCCAGGTCTCCCCGCCGTCATTGCCTAGAGCGTCAATCCGCCATTTCTGGAACCATGACATTATAAACTTGTATTAATTGTGGTTGAATTAGATTACTAGTGGAATTTTTGTTTCTAGACAAGTCTCCCAGGTCAATAAATTTAAAGGGCATTCAGCGCTGTACAACACAACCTGTGCGGCTTCTGGATCTGTAAAGAAATTGAACTCTGCTGAGTGTGTTACGTTGCCAATGCCCAAATGATTTCCGCCCATGATATATAAATCTTTAATGTTTTGATTAACATCGCCATAGTATCGCATTAGGAGCGCGATGTTTGTTAAAGGCCCTATACCGATGACGGTGATTTCTTTGGGATTGTTTACTATGAGGTCTCGCATTGCAATTAGGGCCGGTTCTGGGCGGATGAGTGACAAGTCTGGCTCGTGTTGATGCTTCAAATCACCGAAACCGTCCACACCGTGATAGAATTCATCAGGTGCGGAGGTGGGCAGAAATGCTTCGTGTGAACCTTTGTAAACAGGGATCTTTATCCAATAAAAAAATAAAAGTTCAGACATTTTAGGCTAAAATTGTTGATAGATTCTTACGTCAGTGCGTTTGGCCACTTCGAGCAAACGTATTGTATTGCGGCAGACATTACGAAGGCTGCTGTTGCCTCGTGTGCAGACAATCATTTCAATCTTTACCAGTTTCTTCAATTCTGCTGATAACAATAAGAAAAGAGCTACGGCATCGTCAGTTCCCACGTCGCAATCCAATATGACACGCTTAGGAGAGGCATCCACATCTGATGTGGAGTCATTGTTGGGTTTGGATTTGTTTGATTTGGCTTTAGTCAGTTTGCGTTTTTTGAAATCTTGATTTACAGTGCTGGTCATAAACGTCATGAATTTATAGTGCGCGAGGGACATGAAAGGAAGGAGTTTATGAGAGAACATGGTTTCGAAAAAAATTAATGTATGATTTACTTAATGTTTTGACTAATTGAACATTATACAATGAAAAATTGTATGAATTTTTATAATGAATTTGAATCACCCTGACATACTGACTGAATAATAACAATAATACATGACCGAAACTATGGGAATATATTAGAAGTTGCATAGCTTCTCCCTCCACTTTTAGAGGGTTACGCGCAGGTATTCAGCACGTTGCGGCCAGTTGTTCAGTCGCATGTCTCGGAGGTTGGGTTGAGCAGATGCAAATTCAGGATAAGATTTAAGGTGAAAAATATAAAATACATTATTCTTGTTACAAGTTGTATTTAAACTTGCTGAAAATAATAAATCATCCATTTCTCATCCAACGTAAAAATGCCTTCCACCACTGTAAGACACAGTAACCCTTAACGACAATTGCATGAAAATACCTAAATAATTGATCATCAATTTGTATATTACAAAATTAATCTTATCTAATAAGCGGTAATATCACAAGAATGTTAAGGAATACCAAAATGGTACATTTTCAATTCACTTTCTGAGGCACTTATTTGATCACTTGTCCTTAGATTCATTGTGCGTCTGAAACAAGTAAACAACACACATTAAATTGACTTCTTAAGCTAAATCAAAATTATTATAAGTCTCACCTTTTCGGCAATATCCTTCAATACCTTCGCGGTTGCTGTCCCAGTGGTCTCGACCATCTCCTTGAAGATACTCTTATCTCGTTGTAATAACATGTAAGGCGTGTCAAACTCCACCACGCGCCCGTCGTCCATTACCAATATTTTATCGGAATCCATAACAGTATGTAACCTATGGGCTATGGTCAACACCGTGCATTCTGCAAATTTCTTCCGTATGGTTTTCTGAATCAATGCATCCGTGTGTGGATCCACGTTAGCTGTTGCTTCGTCCAATACCAAAATTTTGTTGTTTCTGATAATAGCTCGTGCCAAACAGACAAGCTGACGTTGTCCTACACTATAATTGGACCCTCCTTCCGATATGTTAGTGTGTAGCCCTTGGGACATCTCAGCTACAACCTCCTTCAGCTCGACTTGTTCCAAAGCGTTCCACAAAATTTCATCACTGTACTCATCAAACGGATCCAAGTTCTTTCTCATCGTGCCTGAGAAAAGAATTGGCTCCTGTGGAATGATTGAAACCTTGGCACGCACAATATTTAATGGAAGTTTTGTGGAATCAATATCGTCAATCAAAATACCACCTTCCAACTCATACAATTGGAAAAGGGACACAATGATGGAAGACTTGCCAGCTCCCGTGCGACCAACTATTCCAACCTTTTCAGCTGGATGCACAACGAAATTCAAATTCTTCAATACAGGTGGATCAGATTCCAAATAACGCATGGACACGTCCCTGAACTCTAGTTTTCCACTACTGGGCCAATCCTTTGGCAGTTTAGAGTTTTCTTCTCTTTCTGGTTCATTGTCCAATTTGGTATACTCCAGAACTCTTTCAACTGAAGTCATCTGATTTTCTAACTCACTCCACTGTCGCATACCCCACTGAAGTGAACCCATCAGACCCATGTATTGCGTAATGATCAATCCTAGATCACCGCCATACATGCTCGCATTGATAACAAGCAAGACAATGACCACCAAACCGATGAAGAACACACAAATCATATCCAACCAGAACCCGAACGCTCTGGTGGAAGCAATGAAGATGAACCATGCTGAGCTGTGCAGATCTTGGAAACTGTCAAACTCTTTGATCAACATCTTCTCTGCATCAAAGGCACGAATTGTACTTAAACCGTTCATGGTAGCTGTCATTTGGTTGAAAATTGGGCTACGTGCTGTAAAAATAATTAAAATATTTTAATAATAATTTGAAAGCTAGAAAAAGTCTACAAATAACTTACTTATTCCTTCAATTCTCTTGACACTCCGACTGGTCTTCAAATAGACAATGCGCATCAAGTAAAACAACGCCATTAGCACCAATGCAGGTGGTAACAACATAGGATTCACAATACTAGTTAGCACAATCGTACCAACCAATAACAAACCAATCCCACTGCAATCCGCAATAATATACGGAAGATACTCATCGATAACTCCCAAATCTCTCGAAAACCTGTTCAAAATCCTTCCAGTCGGGTTAGCATTGTAAAACTTCATCTTAGCCTTAACCAACTGATTGAAAATGAAGTTGTGTAGATTAATTGACGCCTTCATTAGAAACAGGAATACGAAGAGATTGTGTAACACCGCTAACAAAATGGTGGCAATGGTAACTCCGGTATACTCGTAAATCAGTTCATTTCTGGTTGCATTCTGTTCATATTGACTCATATTAGAGTGTTCGGCGAAGTATTGCTCTGTGTTCACCCAATAAGTGATGTAGTAATCGTTTGCTCTGGAGACAACCTCAAATAACAAGAAGGCCATTGCCAAGCAGAATATTGTGAAGTAGTTTCCTCCGGCACGGAAGTACCTTCGGTACGTCCCGAAGTTTATCACTCCAGAAGTCACGTTTTCTTTTTCTAACGTAGGCTCATCGTCTAATTCATCCTCAAGCAATGACTTGATCTCGTCACTTTCGGAATTGACTGAGTTTTGACGTGATTTGATTTTACGCGCTTCAACTTCCTCTTCAGGTGATTGGAAAGCTTCCAATAGTTTTGCAAAATCCAATCCACTGTTTTGCAACTCACTGTAGGTCCCCAAACCACCAACGGTACCATCATTCAGGATGAGAATCTTATCCGCGTTCTTTAAATATTGCAATTGATGTGTGATCAAGATACAGATCTTTGTTGCTAGAAATCCTCGGATGCATTCATGATATAATTTCTTTCCGACATTAGCGTCCACAGCTGATAGAGGATCGTCCAACAAATAGATATCAGCTTTCTTGTAAATACATCGTGCTAATGTCACACGGGCCTTTTGTCCACCGCTTAAGGTCTTACCACGTTCACCAACGAGGGTTTTATCACCATGCGGCAATTGCGCAAAGTCAGATTCTAATTGACATACCTTGCAAACTTTCCTGTACCTTTGTTCATCATAAGCATCCCCAAAGAGGATATTTTGACGCACATTTCCAGAGAATAACCAGGGTTCTTGTGCAGAAAATGAAACTTTACCAGAGATGTGGACATCACCTTCAGATACGGGTAACTCGGAAAGAATAACATTTAGCAGGCTGCTTTTACCACTTCCAACTGGACCAATCACAGCAAACAACTGGGGATCGGTAATGCTGAAACTGATATCTGCAAGTGTGTCATCACTCTGGTCCTTGCTCCATTTAGCAAACACTTTGTTTAAGATTACTTTTGGTGTTGGTGGTGTGATTGGAATAAGTGAATTGCCATTCAATCCATTAGTACTATTGCCAAGTTTTTCTTTTATGTCTTTTTCTTTGGTTTCCATGGTAACCCCAGGAGGTGGCAGTATCATCTTAGTCGGCAACTCGTCGTAATCAAGGAACTTCTTGATACGCTTGATTGAAACGTTTACCTCGGCAAGAGAAGTGATACTGATGGTAAATAAAAACGTAATAGTAGTCTTCATGACGTTGTAAATGGCCGTGATACCGAAAGCAGTTTCGGCAGTCACACTGTTACCCATCAAGACGTAGGATACCAAACTGATAAAAATGGCGGTACGGGAGGCAAACAATTCAATTGAGTACGTCAATGCGATCAACACTTTGTGGGCACGGATTGATTCAATCTCCTTACTAGAAATTAAAAATCACAATCAATGTTATTGTATGATCATGATGTATTTCAATTCTTACCTTCTGCTAAGTGCAATTAATTTGGCAAAAGGTTTCTCCCACGTGTACATTTTGATCACCTGAATACCGGAAATAATCTCATTCATCAGTCTCACTCGTTCGTCTGTGCGTAAGGCAGTGCGCAGACGTAGAACGGAAGTCCTCTTAGCCATCAACACTAAACAAAACATTTATTAATCAAAAACTCAATTAAAAGTCTAAAAACTTACTCTGTAACGGTATGAAAGTCAACAGGAACCCAACTCCTAGGAAACACGCAGCACCAATCTCCCTATACAGGAAGTAAATGGCGACTACTGATTGAATAGGCGCTACCCATGAGAAATGCGCAAGTACAAATCCCTGATCAAACTTGCTGACATCGTTTGATAATAAATTGACAACATGTCCGACTGTGGTTTGGCCCAGAGCACTTTTGCTCAATTTTAAAGTCTTGCGGTATACTAATGCACTGCAAGAGATTCGCATTTTCATCGCCACGTGCATAATCCACATCATGGACGGATGTGCAATGATTCGCTCCACGCACATAGAGCATATCAGGGCCGCTGTGTAATAATAAGCCTCTTCGTGCGTTATCACTTCAGTAGTTTGTGCAAAGTAGGCAACCAACTTTCCAATTAGTATTGGTTCTATAATACTATAATTTAAAGTTTATTATTAATGAATATAAAACATCAGGAATGCGAACAACTTACATAACAACTAGTTCTTTGAAAAGTGTCAACAATCCGATGGCAAGAAACTCCAGCCCGAAGGCGTGTGTTATCGCCAAGTGCAGCGACCATTTTTTGTATCGCTTGTTGTAGCGATTGTATAACTTTTCAAGTTTTTCGCCGACCAATTTCGACTTGTGTTCGTCGAGTGGTTCGAAGAGATCGTTCTCGTTGAGACCTTTTTTGAACGAGCGGTAGAAAATTGGTAACATGTAACTGCAAAAAACGAATTATAGTTACATAACCAGCAGGTAATGTTTGTTTGTTTATTTTTTATACACACATATTTATAATGTGTACCTATATTATAAAAAAAGGAAGTCTATTCATCATGAGTATCCGGTTATTTCCAGTTCGTTCAAGTTCACAATAAACCAGAAACAAATTAAATTAATAAATTGTTTTCTTTGATAACAAAGTATTTTTCTCGCAATATTTTTTAAAGAAAACTAAAAAACTACTGATTATTCAGTAAATATGTCTGTTATTTATTGTTGTGTGTGTACAAATCTTGAAATAACTCCAATTGTAATTATACACATTCATTCCGATTCAGTCATGCGCTACCACAACATTCAGCAGTATAATCGACACGTGGCACGCGTATGATTAACAATAAATTGTCCGTTGGCATCAATCTGTTTAATTGAGAGTTTAACGCAACTCTATACTCATTGCACAAACTTTTTCCATGACACAATTGTTGATTTTTATCTAACTCAAAAATGTGTATAGTAATTTCTGCGTTGAAAATATTTAGCGCCGTGGAAAGTTTAAATTACTATGAGTTATATTGTTATATAATTTGTATTTTCCAGAGACATTAGGTTAATCCGTAATCAAACACGTGTTTTAATCGCTTGTGGTCTAGTTTTTCACGAGTTTGTTTAGCTTTAAAATGTACGAGTAATAACGATAAACAAAAAACATATGAGAGTGTAGATAGTGTTTACATACCACACAATATATGAAAATGTAACTCAACTCAACTATATATGAAAGGTGTAGGTAGTATTTGTGTTTATTGTCAGATATCTAATTCTGCAAACATGTGAGGTATGAGTTGGCACTGATAATAACTAAGTAATATTCCAGTGAGTGCAGTATCTACTCATGTGACAGCAATTAAAACGATTTAATGTTTTATTCTTGCGTTAAAATCCAGAATAAATATTTTGAACAATGCGTTAGTGCTATAATAGAAAATTAGATTTTTTGATGTTTTACAAGTTTCGCATTTTGAAAATATTTGATTTACTATTCGCACAATTGTTAAAAAAGATTATTTCATTGTTTTATCAAGCCGGAGATAAATTATCTACCGAGAAAATCGAGTAAAAAAACTTGATTTTAAAATAACAGTACTTAATGAACAGCAACACACCAGAAAACCGAACGATCGTAAAATGACGTAACTTGTAACTCAAACCTAAATACTTGTTAGAGTAACAATTAGAAGTGTTGGTGGTTTAGCGTGCAATCAAAAACACTCATAAATCACAATGTTTTACTCTTTCAACACGCACAACATAAATTAAAACTTTAATAATTTACTTTGATAAATTTGATAAAAATAAATTCTGCACCCAAAAAATTTATTTCATAATCTATATATGAATTTTAAATATATGTATCATACATTATTTCCTTTTGATAATAAAATATGAATTCAACTTTTTAAGTAGTTCCTGTTTGCGATTAGATTCGCACAGTTGATAAATTCATGAAAAGTTTCGTGGTTCATTCACATTATTCATTTCGTGTTCACCGTTCGTCATCAGTCACTCGTCAATATTAACATATTCGCTTGTCAAAACATAAAACCTTTAAAATGATAGGTAATCATGAGGAGGCGGGCGCGGTACGGTGAGTTTGCCGGCGAATTCTCCTGCGACTGACATTGACCTCACCGCGAACATTGATTTTTGTACGCTCCTACATCGCAACGCGTTTTACTTCCCATCATCCACAAAATAAACTAATTAAGAATCAGTAAAATACATTTATTGTGCAAATAAATGCATAAAAATGACACATAACATCATTGTATTCCCTAGACAAGAGAATAAAATGAAGTCGGAGTGAAATGATGCACAAATATGTCTTATCCTTTTATCCACGAGTAATTATTTAACGTATTTCCACACACTTCGAGGTTAAAAGCTCAAAGTCAAGCGATTATATGATTAAGACATGAAACGCATCGAGTGTTGCACATCACGTGGCAAACACAGATGTTTTTCTAATTGATTGCACAATAAATAAAGCGGAAATGTTCGAAGAAAGAAAAAACTTGTCACTTGTGAAACATTACAAATGTGGGCAAGACCATCAAACAAGACCTTGTACTTTTAATCGGCCATAAACGCGATTGGCTTTCCAAGTAAGAAATAATAAATAAGTATTTACAATAAAGACATGTATAGTCATCATCATTCGTCACATGTCTTTCCCGGCAATTTAATAATAAACACTAAAATCGATTTAAAAGTACTTACATTAGGAATAATGATGATAGAAAGTTGCTGCTGGCCCTTGGATTTGGTCGACGTTTTTCACGCTTTTCATGATCCATTTTTGAGTTTTATTCTGTTATCTATTAAGTAGTATTTTAAGTATGTAATAAACTTGAATTAAATCACGTTTTGCACTTGAACTAACTAATTTTATCGCTTGTAGCAGGTAATAATAATAATAATTTAATTAAATACTGTTTTATGTTTTTCGAGTAAAAAAATTATTTGGGTTAATTTGCGCGTCGTAGGCAGATGTTATGCATGCGAAATATTGGCGGATCGTCTCGTCATGTTTTACATTTGCATCCACATCTCACTTTTGGCGGTAGCACGCGCTCGTTTCGCGACTGGCTTGGAAGGCGTCCCGCGAGCCACTGAAATAGAAACGCGCGACGCGAATGCCTCACAATCACCGATGATTCCGCTTCCCACGTAGTAACACATTCACACACGCACGAAATAATTAATCATACGCGTTTTACTCGTGTATGATATTTGCCGCAAGGCGCACTGTTGTAAGGTTTGCACTGTATAAATATCGTATTGTGCTGATGCTGATGAATCAAGTTTCTTTTATAGGCTGGTAGGCACGTGCCAGGCGTTTATCGCGTATCAGATAAGAATTGCACAACTTTTGAAATGAATTTAATCATTCGGATTCTTTTTTCTTATTGAGTTATACTGTTGATAATTTGTAGGGTGTGTATGTGATGTTGCAAGACGAATGTTACCTTGGTAATGACCTCAACATGAAGGGTTACCTTGAGGCAGGTAAGTTTTCTATGAAAAGAACTGGAATGGGGTTGGAAGAAGGGATAATTTGCAAGTTTACCTGGGGGATTTAACCCTAAATGTTGTCTGGACTCAGGCCAAACTTTAAAGACTTTTAAAACGGTAATTCTGGCGTTTTGGCAAATAGACGTTCCAAATTCAGACATTTTATACCTTATACTAAATTTTACAGCGTTGGAAGTGTTAAATATATTTCTATTCATATGTAATGCTTCAACTTGCATTTATTTGTGTTTGAAACATGATTTAAAATGTATTTTTTAATGTTTTTTCTGTGAAATGCAAAAAGTGAAATTTAAAATTGTGCAAAATAATGTTTTGTGTATTAAAAGCACAAAATTTAACTTTTAAACTCATCGAGTGCATTTTTACGATGGTAATTTATGAAATAGTGTATTTTGTATTTTCCAAAGTCTATTAACAATAGGAATAATACTTTATATTCTTTTCTCTAGCAAAAATAAAACTGTTTTTTTAATCGTTCAATTGCATCAATTAATATGTTAATTTTTACTAGATATTCAATGAGAATTTAAAGTTTGCTACTTTTAAATGTCTCTAAGAATTCTCAATACTGGAAAACACCTTAGACACATAATTAACCAACAAAGCGAATGCAATTGTGGAAAAATCGATAAATTGGTAATGTTTTTCATTCAGGTGATCAATGTATTCTAAGTATGAATGTTTGATGCCCCAGGGTCGTCTAGTCTAGTGTTAGTTTACTTATTCAGTGTCAATAAATCTACAATAGTACAATTGTAAAATGAAGTACGTATGTGTGTATGTAATAAAATGAAATTACCACCAATTATTTGCAATTTGCATAGCTGTGAAATACAATTCAATACGTAATAAACTTTTTTCACTATTGGTTGAGTTGTGTACGATTAAATGAAATTTTTCATTAATAAATAGTTTTACATTTCTTTGCCAAGTGACAACCTTGACATTGTTTGAGCCTTGCCTGTGTAAAATTAGAAATTTTCTTGCCAAGAAAATGTGTCACTAGAGAGTTGACCTTTAGCAAAACAAAATTTATATTAGTCTGATGTAATATTGAAAATGAAATGAATCATATTAATTTATCAATTTATTGTCAATCAAACTGATTACAGCATATACCTGAAATTTCACGTTTTGTACTTGATTACGGAGAAGTCTTATCAACAATTATCGCTTGAAATAACTATTAAGTAACTATAAGCATAAAAATAACCTTTTTTTAGTTATAATGGTCAATTTTAATTTTTTTTTATAAGGTTTACGCAATTTTTCGAAATTACTCTTTACTAACAAATATAACTACATATTTATTTAGTACTTTGTTGTCTGACAGCTACAATCTACTCGTCAGTTTAATGCTCTTTAATTCATGTTTAAACAAACCTGTGTCGTCCCTGTTTTCGTGGCGTCAAGTGCCGACATGTCGTAATCATGTTGAAATCAAGTTGAAATCTTGTCGAAATATGTATGATAAAACATTGTTAGAATTTATATTCGTGCTTCTATAATAGTTATACTCTTTAACTCACATTAATATCGATTTAACACTAATCAAACAACTGCTTTTTCAGACCAATTAATATCTATTAATTTTTAATGTAACTTCTATGGTTTGCTCAGAATTCTCAATTAACAGTTTGCGTATAACAAAATGTTGCACAATATTGGACCAAGTATGTAAACAATCAAAAAATAAGTAAAAATACACTGAAGTATTATACAATAACAAATAATAGACGGTAATATGCGATATATTTATTTGTTTTCTTGATTTACGTTAAGTTTATGTGAAAAACAAAGCAAATGGAATTTCTCATGCTGAAAATAACTTGCATTACAGTAATACCTTACACTTTACACTATCATTTAAAATGATAAATAGGTTTGATTCATATCAAATTTTCTAATAATAACTATGGATTACGTATTCAACGAGGAAGATAAATATAATAAAAATAGTAGCGAAGAAATATGACATTTTAGGGCAATTTTGCAGTTTAAATCATATGTAATTTCTATTAGATTTATCAAAATATAATACGCAGTTTTGAAACGTCCAATTGCCCTATTTATACAGGAGATTCAATATGTTTTTGACAATAGTTGTGTAAATACTTTAAACCAGTAGTAATGTATGATACGCAAGTGCGAAAAATAGGTCATGATTTTTAATTATTTACATTGCTATACAATACATAAAAACAACACATTTTTGAGAGACAATTTAAAGATTGTTCAATTTTTCAGTACATGCGTTGGGTTGCCTGCCATATTATATGCTATAAAGCTACAATACCCAACAAACAAGTAATTTAACTGCATACATACGAATTGACATTTATGTAACCAATGGAGTTTGGACTTTTTAACAATTTAACTTAAGTTAAGCTAACCTCACAAGTCATTAAACAACCGCAACTTGCCTGCGAATCACACGAATCTCTTGACCAGGCTTAACAGTACCGATTTAGCTGAAAATGGAAATCACTTTTCATGGGAAACGAGCGCTTGTCACCGGCGCCAGCCAAGGTCAATATAAATTCAAGTTTTAGCTGTTTAAACAAGCTCATTTTGTGATAAAGTGTGTATCTGTTAATTATAACTGTAAATTTGTATTTTCAAGGTATCGGACGTGATATTGCCCTGCAGCTTGCAAAATGTGGTGCAAAAGTGGTTGCTCTTGCCAGAAACAAGGATCTTTTAGGTTGGTAATGAATATTTACTGAGTGAAGTCAATTCACTTGGGTGTGAAAAGAAAAATTAAGTTTAAATTTAGTTAGGTCAAGGCTAAAGTTGATAAGATGTTTGAATAACAGTTACTTAATACGTAATCAAGTATATATTATATTGTTTTAGTCAACTGATAACAATTTATACTGAATTATCTTTATTTTATCATTTTCTGTTTAGAAAAACTCAAATCTGAACATCCGAATATTGAAATCGCGGCGGTGGACTGTTCAAATTGGACTGAAACTGAAAAAGTTCTTGATTCATTAGGACCTATTGATTTATTAGTAAACAATGCTGCCGTTGCAATTCTCGGTCCCATTGGTACCATTACTGATGCAGATTGTGATAAGTATTACTCTTTAAGCGGAATTTAAAAGACTATCTACTTAAACATTGATGTTTAGGACATTTGCAATTAATGTTAAAGCAGTTATTAATTGCACTCAGCATGTGGCAAAGTCCCTGAAAGCTCGTGGCGTAAAAGGATCAATCGTGAATGTTTCCTCACAAGCTGGCACTGCAGGATTGGGAGATCATGCAGTTTACTGTGCAAGTAAGGCTGCCGTTGATGGTTTCACCCGATGCGCAGCGACTGAATTGGGCCCGGCTGGTATTCGGGTGAATAGTGTGAATCCCACTGTGATTATGACAGATATGGGCAAGTTACATTGGGAAGATCCAGTTCATGCTAAACCTATGCTGGCTAAGATTCCCATGGGAAGGTGACAGATAATGTTAGAGTAGTTTAGAAGAAGGTTTAATTTATTTATTTGTTTAGGTTTGGCGAAGTGTCCGAAGTTACCGATGCTGTTTTGTATCTTCTAAGTGATAAATCTTCTATGATCTCAGGCACGTGTCTTCCTATCGATGGTGGGTTTATGGCAAACTAATTTTTCATCAATAAAATTGCTTGAATGGCTTAATTTTTGAAAATTTCCTAATTTTAATTAACCATTTGAATGGAATTAACATATTTAACAATTTATTACAAGACTTACATAACTATCAAGTTGATAGTATCAACATATAACAATTTATTTATCTTTTTGATTTTCTTCTATAAATTGATCTGCCAAACCAACTTGTTTGGCCATATTGTAAAACGGTCCACTTCCTCTTTGCACTAAATTCCTAGGCGTATCAAAATCTATCACCTCTCCATTGTCCACGACAAGAATCCTATCAGAGTCAATAACTGTATGCAACCGGTGTGCAATAGTCAATATTGTACAATGCGAAAACAACCTACGAATTGTTTTCTGAATGAGCGCATCTGTTGTCGGGTCAATATTAGCCGTAGCCTCATCCAACACGAGGATTTTATTATCTCTCAACACAGCTCGGGCTAAGCAAATCAATTGGCGTTGTCCTACGCTAAAGTTACCCCCACCCTCTTGCACAACTGTACTTAACCCATCTGAAAGACATTCCACATCCTTTTTAAGTTCCACTTTCTCCAGGGTGTTCCACAACTGCATATCTGTATGTTGACCATCTGGGTCAAGATTCGTGCGTATTGTACCAGCAAAAAGGACAGGATCCTGAGGGATAATAGAGATTTTTGAACGTACAATTGGTAGTTCAACGTCTCTAATATCAAATTCGTCAATGGTAATGGAGCCTTTGATGTTGTACAGTCTGAATAAAGCAGATATGATTGAAGATTTTCCTGCTCCGGTTCTTCCGACAATACCCACACGTTCTCCAGAAAATATTTCAAAGTTTACATTGGTTAGAACCGGTTTGCCTGTAAAGTACGTCATGCAAACATTACGATATTCAATGTGTCCCTTCAGTGGCCAGCTATCTGGATCTACTCCTGCGTGCTTTTCTTGTTCAGTATCTGAGTACTCATTCAGACGTTCAACACAAGTCATTTGATTCTCCAGTTCAGCCCATTGACGGATTCCCCATTGGAGTAAACCCATCATTCCAAAGGCTTGCGTTATAATCAAACCAACTTTACCACCAGATCCCTCTCCTAAAAATTATTTTGTTTTCTTTCTATTGTTTTGACATCAAATTATTTTCATCCAACTACCTCTATCACTCATAAAGATTGATGAATAAATAACTAAAGCCACATATACTTTGCACATACAATCTAACCAGAAACCAAAGGCTTTCGCAATTGAAAAATACATATACAGGGTTGAAGTGTTTAAATCTTGATGCCTTTCAAACTGGCGTATTAATAGAGTTTGATTACCACTCGCTCGAATTGTAGTAAGACCCTCCAGGGATGAGTTTAAGTAACCAACAACAGGTGCCCTCGCTAAAAACGAGAATAAATTAATTATATATTCATTCTGAAAGAGGAAGGAAACAAAACATACTCATTCCATCTAATCTCTTCAATCCTCTGCTGGCAACCAAAAAACTTTTCCTTGATAACAGCATCAACGTTATCATGATCAAAGTAGGCAGAATCAAAATAGGGCTAGCAACTGAAATGACCGTGCTTATACCCACTGTAAAGAATAACACCCTAAAAGATTCATAAACCACATAAGGCAAATATTCATCAATTGTTCCCATATCCTTCGAAAACCGATTGAGAATATTCCCAGATAAGTTCTGATCAAAGAAGTTCATCGTTGCATTCGTGACCTTGGTAAATATAGAATTATGTAAGAACTTTGATGCTTTCGTAGCAAGTCCAAAGAAAATAAACAATTGGATGCTCACTGATACAATTGCCATTCCCATCAGGAAAGAGTAGGTGTAAATTGTCCCCAAATGTTGTGCGTATACTTCCTCGTAAGTATCGCTGTCAAATGTTACATTTGTATAGTTCATTGATATATTATATGTTAACCTGCTCATTGACTCTTCCACTTTTAACCAGGTCTGTATATAGTAATCAAAATAACTCTGAAAAGTCTGTGTGCAGGTAAAAAGCATTAGAAGTCCTACTAATACCAGCCATCCTCCAGCACTATCCAAATAAGCTTTGTAAACACAAAGTTTAACTTTTCCTTCTTCTTTACCCTCTAAATATAATCGTTGTGCAACATGTTTAGTGTTTGTTAACATGACTGCCTCTTCATGTATCTTCTCACATTTTTCAGATTTCTTTCTGATGTCATCTTGAGTTTCAATCGTTGAATCAATTGTATCTACTGTAAACTCAATACCTAAATTCTTCAAGTCTTTGTATTTTCCTTCTGCTTGTATACTTCCTTTGTTCAAAACAAGAATTTTATCAGCAAGTTTAAGATATTTCTTGTTATGACAAACAAATACTACTAGTTTGGCTTTGAGCAGTCCTTGGAAGCAATTCTCAAAGATATATTTGCTTACAGTGGCATCTAAAGACACCATAACATCGTCCAATAAATAAATATCCGCTTCTTTGTACACTGCACGTGCTAAATTAATTCTTGCCTGTTGTCCTTTACTCAGATTCAAACCTTTGTCATTAACAACAGTGTTATCTTTCATTGGAAAACTCTCCAGGTCTTGAATCAATGCGCATCTCCTCACTACTTCTTGATATCGTTCGCTATTGAAACTTTGACCAAATAAAATGTTCTCTCTGATGGTCCCTGGGAATAACCATGGATCTTGTGATGCATAACTCACAGTACCATTAACGTGAACATTTCCTGATTCGGTGTAAATTTCATTTAGCAACATCTTTAGCATTGTACTTTTTCCACTACCAACATTGCCTGTTATAGCAATCAAAGAAGGAGATCTTACTTGCAAATTAATATCACTTAGAATACGTTGTCCCAGAAAGTCTACAGTGGCACCTTTAACAATAACTTTAACTTCTTGATCATTTATATTATTTGATGATTCTGGGACGTTTTCAATCAGCAGCGCTTCTTTGATACGCTTCATAGCACTGCGAGCTTCGGCAAACTGCGTGATAAACCATGGTACAGAAATGGTGAGTACCATTCTGAGAGTATGGTAACACCCAATTATAATAAAGGTCTTTTCGGCTGTGATGAAATTGTCTTGGTAAATGTAAAACATGATGCATAAATAGAAAGACAGTCGATCGCTGATTTGACTCAGAATCATTACACAAGATTTGAGGTAGAAAATTATTCGTAGTTTTGACATTTCTTGACTGAAAATTAGTAATTTATGTTAGTTTGATAATTTCAGACTAAATAAATTAATATTAACATACATTCTTATATTATTTGTCAATTTAGTATAGTATCCTCCCCAATTATACAACTTTAAAAGTTTAATTGACGTTAGAATCTCTTGCATTAGTTTTAATCTCTCGTCAGTTTTCGCCGCCATTTTGAGTCGCGTGATTTTCGTGTATTTTGCAAGGATAACTGCAACCAATTAAAATATTCTCATGAATTATCACCAGAAATGATTGCAGCCATGGTGTGATGCAGTTAATCGCGATTTAATTTTTGGCGAACACAAAAACCACTGTTATCCGGTAACCTTGTTCTAAAGTAATAATTACCATGATTGCACTCACCTTGAACAGGAATCAAAACTAGGAGCAAAGCGACGCCAACAAAGCTGGCCTCCTGGATCTGCTGGTACATGACGTAGTTGACAATAAACAGCTGAATAACTCCAATCCACAGATCATGAAAACGAGATACGGCGGTTTCAAAGGCGCCAGCGTCTTTGTTCACAAGGGTTACCAGTTTACCACTGGTGAGCTTCATTAGAGATGCACTTGTCAAACGTAAAGACGTTCGATAAAGGAGGGAAACAATGGAAGCTTTAATTTTAAGGCCCAAAATAGCCATCATCAATTGATAGTGTTGATCAAAGGCACTTTGGATGAATCCACTTAACAGTAACAAACCACCGTAAATACAGACAGTTTCTTGTGTCATGGTAGAATCAGGTGCAAAATACGACACCAAACGACCAACTAGCAATGGAGTTGTAGTTCTTGAATATAAAGTTATTGAATTTCAATCTGTTAGGTTTTAAAATCAACTTACGCAAGAGTTGTTTTGATAAAAAGTGCTGCAATACCACATAGAATATAGGTCCTTCCAAAAACCCTCATCAATGCCCTGGTAAGTGAATTTCTACCAATTTCTTTCTCCTTCTGCCATTCAAACTCAAGCCGATCACCAATAAACGATGTTCCAAAGTCGGGCAGCGGTTCATAGAGATCATCTTCAATCAGATCCCGATGTCGAGCCTTCCGGAAGATGTCTACTGTATACAAAAAGGCAAAGACCCGGAAGAGACCAGCGCGCTCGCGCGGATTTCGCTTGCGGTCAACTGTCGCGCCTTGGTACATGACACCCACGTGTCACACCACCTCCGCAGATACAAGTGCCACTGAACGCGGTCGGATGTCCACTACTTACTGAAATGTACGATGCGCATCTAGCTAATCATCTGATAAACGCAATCCGACTGCTACTGGAAGAGGCGTTATGTGAGTGTGTATTTTTTTTATTGTTGATTTTTATTTCGCGTGCTGTGGATTCCAAACGCAAGCGGTCAGTGCAGCAATTAACTTGTTTATCTACAAAATAAAACTCGCAATAATATTCATTATGCAGGTTGGTGCTGCTTTTATTATGCAATTTCCGACAAATGTTTAAAAATATTTCTAATAACAGTGGGAATTTGATGCATCATTCAAAGCACAGCTATATAAATCCAAGCGGAAAGTTTTACCAACTTACCTTCCAATGTGCGAGTAGACTACAAGTATAAAACTTTATAAATAAGCTAGCTTGACTAATGCTTCCAGAAATACAAACATTAATGGTGTAAACGTGACTCCCGATGAATGGATGATAATAATGTAGAAAAGTAACACTGTAATATTATATTTCAACAATTTATTATATTAAAGTCGATCATATACAAAATATTTATAACTAGAAAATATACAAACACGAGATATATTTCAATAATTAAAACATAACTACTTCAAACTATATAAAACAATAACAATATATTAACTTATTTATCTTTTTGATCTTCGGTCAAAAATTGATCTGCCAAACCAACTTGTTTGGCCATATTGTAAAATGTGCCACTTCTCCTTTGCACTAAATTCCTAGGCGTATCAAAATCTATCACCTCTCCATTGTCCACGACAAGAATCCTGTCGGAGTCTATAACTGTATGCAACCGATGTGCAATAGTCAATATTGTACAATGCGAAAACAAGCTACGGATTGTTTTCTGAATAAGCGCATCTGTTGTCGGGTCAATATTGGCTGTAGCTTCGTCCAAAACAAGAATTTTGTTATTTCGTAAAACAGCCCGAGCTAAACAGATTAATTGACGTTGTCCTACACTAAAGTTACCCCCACCCTCTTGCACAACTGTACTTAACCCCTCTTGAAGACATTCAACATCATACTTAAGTTCAACTTCACCCAGGGTGTTCCATAACTCGTTATCTGTATGCTGTTGATCCGGGTCTAGATTAGTACGTATTGTTCCCGCAAACAGTACAGGATCTTGTGGGATGATAGAAATTTTCGAACGTACAATTGGCAGTTCAATGTCTCTAATATCAAAGTCGTCGATTATAATGGAGCCTTTGATGTTGTACAGTCTGAATAAAGCGGATATGATTGAAGATTTTCCTGCTCCGGTTCTACCAACAATACCAACACGTTCCCCAGATAATATTTCAAAGTTCACGTTGGTTAGAACAGGTTTGCCTGTAAAGTACGTCATGCAAACATTACGATATTCAATGTGTCCTTTGAGTGGCCAGTTGTCTGGATCTACTCCTGCTTGTTTTTCTTGTTCAATATCTGCATATTCAACCACTCTCTCCACGCATGTCATTTGATTCTCCAGCTCTGCCCATTGACGGATTCCCCATTGGAGTAGACCCATCATTCCAAAGGCCTGGGTTAAGATCAAACCAACTTTACCACCTGATCCCTCTCCTAAAATGGTATTGATTGTATAATTGGTTACATAAGTAACTTAATATTAAATACAAACCTCTAACGCTCGTAAAGATGGAGATGTAAATAATTATAGCAACGTATACTTTACACATGCAATCCAACCAAAAACCAAACGCTCGTGAAATCGAAAAGAACATATATAATGACGAGGTGTTCAAATCTTGATGCTTTTCGAACTGGCGAATTAACAACTCTTGATTTCCACTTGCTCTTATCGTGGTTAACCCTTCCAGTGTAGAGTTGAGGAAACCCACAACAGGTGCCCTTGCTAAAAAACAAATTCTTAAAATGTTTACTGGAATATTTTAAACATTTGGAACTTACTTGTGCCATCTAAACGCTTCAAACCTCTGCTAGCAACCAGAAAACTTCTCCTAAACCACATCATCAGCGAAAACATGATCAACGTTGGAAAAATCAATACTGGGTTTGCCACAGAAATCACTGTGGTTATACCCAAGGCAAAGAACAGTACTCTAAATGCTTCGTAAATAATATATGGTAGGATCTCATCTATAATTCCAATGTCCTTTGAAAACCGGTTGAGCACATTTCCGGATAAGTTCTGATCAAAGAAGTTCATCGTCGCGCTTGTGACCTTGGCGAATGTCGAATTGTGTACAACCCTTGATGCTTTTGTAGTGAATCCAAAGAATACGAATAATTGAACACTCACACAAACAATCGCCATTACAATTAGGAATGTGTAGGTGTAAACTGTGCCTATATGTTCTGCGTATGCTTCAGTGTAAATTTCACTTTCAAATGTTACATTTGTGTAGTTCATTGATATATTATAAGTCAATCTACTGATCGCCTCTTCTACTTTGAGCCATTTCTGGACGTAGTAATCAAAATTACTTTGGAAGATCTGCGTGAATGAAAATAGAGCCAGGACACCGAAAAAGACAGTCCATCCTCCAGTACTATCCAAATAAGCTTTGTACACACCCAGTTTTACTTTTCCTTCTTGTTTACCCTCCAAATATAATCGTTGTGCGATATGTTTACTGCTCGTTAACAGGGATGCTTCTTCATTGGTCTCATCTTGCGCTTCTGCTTTCTTATCAATAATCTGCTTGGTTTCAATGGTTGAATCAATTGTCTCCACTGTGAATTCAATACCTAAGTTCTTCAAATCGTTATATTCCCCTTCTGCTTCGACAGTTCCCTTGTTCAAAACATGAATTCTATCTGTCAGTTTAAGATATTTCTTGTTATGGCACACAAATACTACTAGTTTGTCTTTGAGCAGTCCTTGGAAGCAGTTCTCAAAGATATACTTGCTCACAGTAGCATCTAAAGACACCATAACATCGTCCAATAAATAAATATCCGCTTCTTTGTAAACAGCACGCGCTAAATTAATTCTTGCCTGTTGTCCTTTGCTCAGATTCAAACCTTTATCATTGACAACAGTGTTATCTTTCATTGGAAAACTCTCCAGGTCTTGAATCAGTGCACAACTCTTCACTATTTTCTGATATCGTTCTCTGTTAAAAGGTAGACCAAATAAAATGTTCTCTCTGATGGTCCCCGGGAATAACCATGGATCTTGTGATGCATAACTCAAAACACCATTAACGTGAACACTTCCAGATGTGGTATAGATTTCTTTTAGTAACATCTTCAAGAATGTACTTTTTCCACTACCAACATTTCCGGTAATGGCTACCAAAGTGGGAGATCTAGCTTCAAAGTTAATCGCGGTCAGAATTCGCTGTCCTAAGAAGTCTATAGTTGCATCTTTGACAATAATTTTCACTTCTGTATCATGTCCATCATTGGATGGTTCTGGGACACTCTCAATAAGCAGTGCTTGTTTGATGCGTTTCATCGCACTCCGAGCTTCAGCAAATTGCGATACGAAAAATGGTACAGCTATTGTAAGTACAAACCGCAGATTATGATAGCAACCAATGATTATGAAGGTCTTTTCGGCAGTGATGAAATTTCCCTGGTAGATGTAGAACATGATGCATAAGTAGAACGACAGCCGTTGGCTGATTTGACTTATAATTAAAACGGTTGCTTTAAGGTAGAAAATTATTCGCAGTTTGGATATTTCTTCACTGAAAAACAAATTCATTCAGAGATTATTATTTTTTTATGAATAAGCTATTTCGAAGTGTATTGATAACAATTGTTGGAGTGCTTTTCTAAAATTATCAGGCTAGAGTCTAATCAGATAATTAACTTAAAAAATGCTCTATTTGTGTTTATGTGGGTTATATTGAGAAATAAACTGATTAAACTCGTAACAATGAAAACAAAAAATACATACGTTCTTATATTGTTGGTTAATTTAGTATAATATCCTCCCCAATTATACAACTTTAAAAGTTTGATTGAGGTTAGAATCTCTTGCATTCGCTTTAACCTCTCGTCAGTTTTCGCCGCCATTTTGAGTCGCACCATTTTGGTAAATTTAGCAATGTAAACTGTAAAAATCAACAATTTCACACATTTAAGTTATAATTATGATTGTACATACCTTGAATAGGAATCAAAACAATGAGTAAAGCAACTCCAACAAAACTAGCCTCTTGGATTTGTTGGTACATCACGTAGTTGACAATAAACAGCTGAACAATACCAATCCACATATCATGGAAGAAAGTGATGGCGGACTCAAAAGCAGCTGCGTCTTTACTCACAAGAGTGACCAGTTTACCACTGGTGAGTTGCATCAAAGATGCACTTGTCAATCGTAAAGATGTTCGGTAGAGCAGTGAAATAATGGAAGCTTTAATTTTAATGCCCAGAACGGACATCACCAGATGGTAGTGATGATTAAAGGCACTTTGGATAAATCCACAAAGCAGTAATAAAGCACCGTAGGCACACACAGTTTCTTGCGTCATGGTAGAATCAGGTGCAAAATAGGATACTAACCGTCCCACAAGTAATGGACTCGCTGTCCTGGAATATTAAAAAAAATTTAATGCAAAATTTGCTCTAATTCAAAAGAACTTTATGACTTACATAAGTGTGGATCTAATAAAAAGTGTGGCTACGCCATACAAAGCGTAGGTCCTTCCAAAAACCTTCACCAAAGCCCTGGTGAGCGAGTTCCTACCAAGTTGGCGCTCCTTCTCCCATTCGAACTCCAAGCGATCACCAATATGCGCCGTTTCGCAATCCTGCAGCGGTTCGTAGAGATCATCTTCAATTAAATCTCGATGACGCGCTTTTCGGAAGATATCGACAGTGAACAAAAAGCCGAAGACGCGTAAAAGACCAGCGCGTTCGCGCGGATTGCGCCTGCGGTCAACGCTCGCGCCCTGGTACATCGCACCCACGCACCACGTGCCCCAGCACCTTCACCGTCGCAGAGATAGATGTGCCGTTGAATACGGCCGGCCGTCGAATGCCAGCAGAATTGATCAATTCGTATCTAGCTAGTCATCTGATAAGCGCAATCGGACCACTGCCTTCGATTGCATGTCACAGCGGAGGAGGCTGGATGACATGAAGGTTTGTTTCCATATTGTTGATTTTTATCTCGCGTGCTGAGAATTCCGAGCGCAAATGGCTGGTGTAGTTTACACTTGGTGCAATTAAGTGATTTACCTAAAAATAATAGAAACTGCAGATTCCCACAAGTAATAAAAAATATCAATTTTGTTTAAAATCACGAAAATTGCAGCAATTAAAAAATAAAACCTTCTCATAAAAAGAAAAATTTTATTACTAAACCGTGAAAAATATTTGGAAAAAGGCATTGTCCAAAAAATAATACAAATATTAGAATGGTTATCATTCATTTTATATCATACAGTCAATATTTAAAATAAAGTTCAAAGCATGTTTACCATGATTCGAACTCTCGTAATGTCTATTTTGAAAGTGAAAACCAGATTAATAAACAAATATGTATCAAACCGTATTTATTAAATATTTTGAATGTACTCGTATACTTTTATAGACTTATTGTGACATTAACTGTTTACGTGATATCTAGAATTTTTCGTTTGCAAATAAATGAAAATGTTTGTAAAAGTTTGTTATCGTTCAATTTGGATATGTAGGTATTAAATAATGTCATTATTGCGATCGTGATATAGCACTTGAATAGCTAAATTGCTAAAGGCACAACCAAAGCATAATTTCGTCACTGATAAATAATACATGATAGATTAAACTTGGTACAGTTATGTTTAATTTATAGGATGCAATTTATACCTTTTCAAAATGCTCCATAATTTAATTTAATGTTTTTTGTTGTTTTATTTCGGTTGAAAGTTTTAAAGGAGCTCTGCAAGGATAACTCACGTTTTAGGGTTATATATAGGTCAAAATATACACTTGTTAAGGGTGTAGAATATTGATCCTTTACACAAAGTGTTTTAAGTGTTGTAGAAACTGTTTTTAGCTGTGTTTTTATTAAAATTGCATTTGTTTATAGTTTTAATGGCGTGATGACTCGTGATATTGTCTGTGTTTTCGCAATAAATTAAAAGTAAGTTTGGGTAAACTTTCGAACTTAACTAGTAAGTAAAACAACTTCCTAACGATTAATTAGAGTCAAATTAGAATAATTAAAGTTTCCTGTTATTCGAAACGTTCGTTTAAGTCAGAATTTACTGATTTTCAAGGATACGTAAAAAGTTATCCCACGTGCCGTATCATTCTCAGTCTAAACCTTTGTTTTGGTATGCAAAAATATTTTAAAATTAAATTTATTCCAAATTTATCAATCAATCAATCATGTTAAACATGTTTTCTGTAGTTGCGAAACTTTAAAAGAGCAAAATTTGCAACAATTAAAAATCCATGCGTTTTTAGATATACAATAGGGAATTCCAGATAAATATAGCTTGTTTATTCGCTTAATGTTTGCTTTTGTTTTCTATGCGTTTCTCGATTTTATTGACTGTGGCATTAAACTTCGGTAAAAAAGTATTCGATGTGTTTGTAAAGCGATTGTTTTAAAAAATCAAATGTCGTGTTAATGGCAATATAACTCGGATTAATCAAATAATCAATGGTTATCAGAGTTATCACGTGAGTTTTGTACTTGAAGTTGGCGGCATATTAATTGCTAGCAGCGCAGCATATTACTATTCTATATTTTTAAACAATCAGAGCGTTACTAGTAAATTAAGAGGTTTTATATCTACGTCTGGTATGCGCAACATTTTTAATAATCATATCAATGTATACACTGATAAGAATGTTTTATGTTTTTAATATAAATCTCAGTTATCTATATAAAATACTTAAAATATTATAAGAATAAATATTGTTGTAACATCCTGGAGGTGAGATAAAAGTTTTAAAATTAAATTGTATACTTGGTTGCATATGGTGAAAATAGATCCACATGGATAAGAATGTCATGTGCACTTTTGTATCTAACCTCAAGGAATTACACAATAAATTTAAGATTCACCGACTAAGAAGCCGACAAAATGACGATAATTAATTTATTGAAGCATCCACGAACAACAGCAATAGCTAACGGTGTTAAAAATGCCCTTAACGTATGTATTTACTCTAACTGACCTGTTCTTGAAAGCAGAAACCAAAATTGGAAACATAAAATTTAACTTTGGAATACTTGCTATTTTTAAATATAATTTCCCAATATTACTGGAATGTAGCTGCACAGAATTATAATTAACATAACTGCGGGATTTTCAAGATGTAAACCAACAGTTTTTATTATCTCTTCAAGTAAAATTAACAAGACATTAGTATCTTTTTACTTTTGCTCTCATGTTTCAATAATATTTTCAATTAATCTGCTTCCAAAGAACATGGTATTATTCCATAATGATAACAACCAACTTATCATATATAATTATACTTTATTTAGCACAAATCAATGTCCAACTACACAAAATATGCTGAACACAAACAACTGGAAAAAATACGAAATATAGGAATATCTGCACATATAGACTCCGGCAAGACAACTCTAACGGAACGAATATTATTCTACACCGGACGTATTGCCGAAATGCACGAAGTGAAAGGTAAAGACAATGTAGGTGCAACTATGGATTCCATGGAACTTGAGCGTCAACGCGGTATCACAATCCAATCAGCAGCAACATACACACTCTGGAAAGATCACAACATCAACATCATAGACACACCAGGTCATGTGGACTTCACAGTTGAAGTTGAAAGATCACTCAGAGTACTTGATGGAGCAATTCTGGTACTGTGTGCAGTTGGAGGCGTTCAAAGCCAAAGTTTGACTGTAAACCGTCAAATGAAACGCTACAATGTGCCTTGTCTAGCATTCATTAACAAACTAGACAGGATGGGTGCGAATCCATCGCGGGTTTTATCACAGATGCGTTCAAAACTCAATCATCACGCAGCATTCATACAGTTACCGATTGGTTTAGAAGGCGAAACCAAGGGTGTCATTGATTTAATTGAACAAAAGGCGATTTACAACGAGGGACCATTCGGTGAGACATTACGTTATGACGAAATTCCGAAGGAAATGCGTGCTGAATGCTCTGACAAACGACATGAACTCATCGAACATTTATCAAACGTCGATGAAAAACTTGGTGAACTATTTCTTGAAGAGAAAGCCATGACTGACGCGGATATAAAAGCAGCCATAAGAAGAACTTGTTTAAAACGCACTTTCACGCCTGTTTTAGTAGGTACTGCATTGAAAAACAGAGGAGTACAACCTTTATTAGATGCTGTCTTGGATTATCTACCTCAACCTGGTGAAGTAGATAATTTTGCTTTGAAAGAACGCCAAGGAGAAGATCCAATTAAAGTCAAACTTGTTCCAACTAGAAGTGACGAGAATGAATTTGTTGCATTGGCATTCAAATTGGAAGCGGGTAGGTTTGGTCAACTTACGTATATGAGGTGTTATCAGGGAATGTTGAAAAAGGGTGAGAATATTTTCAATGCTCGTACTGGGAAAAAGATTCGAATTGCACGTTTGGTCAGATTACACTCGAATAATATGGAGGATGTAAACGAAGTATTCGCAGGGGATATTTTTGCGTTATTTGGGGTGGACTGCGCTAGTGGCGACACCTTCCTTGCTGATTTAAAACAAGATATAAGTTTGGAAAGTATATACGTTCCGGATCCAGTTGTCTCAATGGCGATTAATCCAGCAAACTCGAAAGATAGAGATAACTTCTCTAAAGCTATTGCTAGATTCACTAAGGAAGATCCAACATTTCACTTCTTCTTTGATAGTGATAATAAAGAAACCATTGTTTCTGGCATGGGTGAATTGCATTTGGAAATTTACGCGCAGAGAATGGAAAAAGAATACAATTGTCCTGTAGTTTTGGGTAAGCCGAAAGTGGCGTTCAGGGAGACGCTCGTTGCGCCCTGTGAGTTTGATTATTTGCATAAAAAGCAATCGGGTGGTCAAGGACAGTATGCGAGGGTGACGGGTGTTATTGAACCTCTGCCGGCTCATCGTAATACTATTCTGGACTTTGTCGACGAGACCGTGGGCACTAATGTGCCGAAACAGTACATTCCGGGTGTAAAGAGAGGATATATGGCCATGGCGGAGAAGGGTCTGCTTACAGGCAACAAGTTGTCTGGGTTAATCTTCAGGTTGCAGGATGGTGCGCATCATATTGTTGATTCCAGCGAATTAGCGTTCTTCCTTGCTGCGCAGGGAGCAATTAAAGAAGGTATGTTATTTATTTCCAAGAGTTATAAACATAATAAATAATTTTGTATTACTTAGTCTTTGAAAATGGGTCCTGGCAAGTCTTGGAACCAGTCATGGCCGTTGAGGTGACAGCTCCCGATGAGTTTCAAGGATCAATCATTGCCCAAATCAACAAACGTCATGGTATCGTCACTGGTAGTGAAGGTACAGAAGGATGGTGTACAATTCATGCAGAGGTACCCTTAAACGACATGTTTGGTTACGCTGGTGAATTGAGATCTAGCACTCAAGGCAAAGGTGAATTCTCAATGGAATACAGCAGATACTCACCGTGTGCTAATGATTTACAAGATAAACTAGTCGAGGAGTACCAGCGAAGCATGGGTTTACTTCCGGATAAAGAGAAAGCCAAAAAGAAGGGGAAGAATTGATGAGGTAATCTAATTAGTTTAATTAATTGGAATTATTTAAATGTCTAAAGAAACAATTGGGGAAATGTTTTTTATACTTCAATTTGTTTGTCTGTAATATATACTTTTATTATGTACTATGGACAAGTGGTTTGGGATGTAATGGTGTGAGGGCAAAAGGCATACCCGTGAAGCACATCTTCCTTAGAACCGGTTTACACACAACCGTTTCAGTCGCACGGTACTAGCTTCATGGCAGGGACTTACCCCCATCACTTTTTGCGGGTAGCTCGCAGGTATAAAAGGACGGTGCAAATTGCACTACGCGCTCAGTCGTGTCAGAGAATCGTTTTTTTTTTAGCGAAACAAACAAACAGCAATTGATTTTAATATATATTAATATATAATATCGATAATACAAAGTTAAAATGCGCTCTTTGCATAACTAGGAATTGTTTGCCACAGCAGTTTGTAGAAAGTTTGACATAATTGGATACACCGGATCGAAATTTGTTTGGTTTTTCTGGCGAATCAAGGTTTCGTATCTCTGCAGAGCGCCTGTTATCAAATCTAGTCTGTAAACATGCAAGAAACAGTTATTATATATACAACTTAAGTATTTATAAAACATACCTATCGCTTTCCAATGGATGTTCATCCAACCAACTCGATAACTTCTTAATCGTCCATCCGGTGTTTTGATGTGGACTGGCTAATTCACTATTCGCAAACGAGAATAACAAAAACAAGACGGTGCTATGTGGTACTGAACTTCCGGAACCTTGACTATCGACTATCTCTTGCGGTGTTTGTGTTACTAATGTAGCCATAGACTTAAACAATCGGTAGGGTCTGCCTAAATCAGTTAGATACGGACATAGAATCTTCAACGATTGTTCCAGATATCCATAATCAGCTTGTAAACGCAATCTACCGCCTTGGGAAATCGGTCGCAGGATTGACGTATGTCTCACCATCAATTCAATACATCGTAGGGTAATATCGCTGCATTTGTTCGCCAAAATATCTTTATTTTCAAAGTGTGCTAAGTACGTTGGATAAATCCGACCGATGAACTGCACTAACTCACGCATGTATGGACTACATGGAATTTGCGTTCTCGCTGTGACTTGTAGCTTATTCCAATCATTTTCGATGTGAATTGTTACCAGAATAGTATCGATTGTGTCATTGATACTTTGAACTAGCGGTTGAATCAATGCCGAAGTCAAAGTATCCAAAACTTGGAGACTTTCCGATATATGTTGAATGGAATTTTGCGATAAAGTCTCTTTCATGTTGACTAACATTCGATTGATTTGTGTTTGCAGGTAATACATTGCATTGGCTAGTTTCGTATTCAATTGTTGCCCGGTGTTCATTGTTCCAGCTAATATTAATCAATATCATTAATAAGTTTACGAAAAAAAGTAATTGTTTACTCACCAATAACTTGTGAAGCATCCGGTCCAGTAGCAACCAACTGTTCAGTTTTAACCGCATATAATTTTATACATTTCGTGACATTCTTCGCTATTTTCTCAGTTAATTGTGTTTCGACCAGTGCCAGACTCAATTCATTCGTGATACTACGAATTAAACCATCGATTTGATCGTGAGTTGGTGCAGAGTTCTCTTGAACGAACATACTCTGCGTGGGTTCTAATAATCTCGTCCAAGAATTACTCAAATAGGCGTTTTCACATTTTTCTAAGTTACTTCGATCAAATGAATATTTCTCGTAGCGCAATTTTTTTATCATATCACAATAACACTTCAACAGTTTGGGGTAGTCTTCCTCGAGCATTTGCTGCACTGATGGTACCGCGTTTTTTACTTCTTCAGATATTACATCACCAAGAGAATTCCAGAAGTTGCTGGACAAATCGTCGAAGTCTCGGTTGATATTTGTTAAAGTGTATTGTAGGAATTTAACCTACACGAAATGTTTTACTTTAAATAACTATTCTACTTGTTTAGATTTAAAATTTACCTGTTTGCACTGTTGATAAATTTCATCCGAGAACACCTTCTCCATATCCGACCAAATTCTTGTACGAAATCCCTGCGATGAAGTCAAAGCAGCCCTGCCGGGTCCTTGTTTGCCTTTAATTGTCGCCGCGTCCAAATTAACTCGCACATCAAACGTTGTTTTCAAACTCTCGCGACATTCTGCCAGCGCAATATCCACTGTGTTTTGAATAGATGTTGAAATCGTGCCCAAATTAATAAAAATCTGCAACGCCGTCGTCGTTTGCGTTGAATTCTCGTTGATTATTCCTTGCGTCAATGATCCATTCGCTAATTTAACAACTTTCTGTTGTTGTGCACGAATGTTTCGAAGTTCTGAACTCACGGCTTCGATATCGACGAGTTCAGGATCACTTGCTAATTGTTCTATTAAATGGAGCGAGAAATAACATTTATAAAGCAATTCTACATAAATTAGTTATTGAAATTTTTCAAATTATGTACAACTAGTTGCATATAGTAATTGATACTCACCCAATTCTTGTAAAACTGTCGCTTTCTGAACAGGATCATTAGTCAAATTGAGCCGTTTACTTAGTTGTTGAATACGACTCACTTGCCGTAAAATGTGACTAGCTAAATGCAATCTGGATAGCACTTTTGTATGATTTTCTAAAGCATGATACGGATTCGTAATTTGCACCTTGAGACGGTCCGCATTTGCAAATAAATTCTCTACATGGCTGTTCATGGTATTTAGAATATCCTCCAATTTACTTGCATGGTTTGCCTGCTGCAGGAGGTCATTGTGTTTCTCTAATACTTGATTTTGCAACTCCTTATTCAATATTTCTATTCCTTCACCTAGTTTTTGAACTTGTTCACTTATAGATAGACTTTGGGTAAGGGCACTTTTGGCGGTAGAATGAAGATAATGCCTGTAGAATTCTAAAAATATATTCATTAATTAGCTATGGTAATAAATAATTAGAAATTATTATTATATATTTTGATCTGCATTTTAAGGTTATATATTTTAAATTGATTTAAAAGCTCACCATCTTCATCCATTTGCTTTCGAACACTATTTTCGTACATTTTAACGAAAAATATATTATTATCACTGTATTTTACAACATTATTCAAGTATTTCACACGTTTTGTAGTCGTGTTAAGTTTATTGTTGCCATATCTGTCAGAAATATACACCTACTAAGCGTAACTATAGGCAATACAACATACAACAAAGGAACAATCCATAGATTAAAATTAACACTTTTTCAACTTAAAACAAAGATATGGCTATTAATGAATCCGTAATAACTGTAAATTGTTCAAATTGTTTAATGAAACAATTAGTTATATACCACCTATCAACTTGCTAAGCATATCAAGTAAAGTACAATAAAATAGAGTGAGCGGCGAGCCTTAGACTGCTAGATAAAACATTTGACAACCATTCTATGACAGAAATTCACCTGCTGTCTCGCTCGCAATCATTTCAACTGCTAGAATTTTCACTCAGTCCTGCAGCTACTGACTGATACGCTTGTGGTTAAGCAAACAGCAAAAGTCTGGTAGCGGCGGTTGTTGGTCGTGCTGGTAGCAACAGTTTTGTAATTTCAATTTAAGGTCAAATTGGTCGCCGGCGAACCGATAAAATGGCTTTCGCTCTGCGTCTCGGCGGTACTCCAGTGGGAGCCGCACTCCGCAACGTCTTGCGCTATCAGAGAGCTTCAATTTTCACCAGTATGGTAAGTGTTATGTCATCACAATCACACGGTTACATATTCCTTTTGATTCATAAAATAACAAACGGCGGTGTGGTGCTTGGCGAAGAATTAGATCAGAATTAAACCTTACACAGCGTTGGTTAAAAAATGCAAAAACAATTGTATTGATTATATTGATAAATTGGTTCTTTGCATTCATATTAAGTCGTTAAACATTGTAATTTTAGTTAAAATTAATTTTGTTTTTATGCGTTTTTAATTCATACTTCTGAATTTCTCTAAAAATATATTTTGTAACGTTTGTGACGTATGTTACACTGAAGTTTGTAATAAATTTAAGTCATCATGACGTGATAACATAATCAAATTCACCAAATTGTATCAAAATTTCAAACGCGTGTGGTGGTTATTTTAACTTCTGATTTAATGTCGCTATGAATACAATCCCCGAAGAAACGTGCGGCGTCACAGAAGGAACGCATTTTTGCGAGTTTTGCCATTATTTGGAAACCAACCCCAACTCATTCCACCACAGCTTTGTATCGTTCAATGACAGCGCAATTCAAAATCAAAATGTGGAATGGAATCATGCTACTAGCTCCAGTGATTTATGCGCTGGCTGCTGTGCTGGTCTCGAAAATGCAAGTGTCGGGGGATTAAGCGGCGCTTGCTCATGCCAACTATCAAACGGCACAAGAAATTACAGAATTATTACTAGACTGAAAGGACAAGCCTCAAATTCGGTAACAATAGCGACAAACACACAATATGGAGGTACTCATCCAGGTGCGCCATTTTCTGCGGATCCTTGTGGTGCTTGTTGCGTGCAATTGGAACAAAAAGAACCATGTGATGATTGCTGTGAGCAGTTAAGCCAAAAAGGGCCACTTGGCGTTTACGGCGAACAATTAAGTCGAAAAGAACCATGTGATAATTGTTGTGAGCAATTAAGCCAAAAAGGGCGAGGTGACGATTTCGGTGAGCAATTAAGTCAACAAGAACCATGTGATAATTGCTGTGAACAATTGGAACATGATACTGAATCACAAGAGGAGGATAGATGTAAATGCATTGATGATAAAGGTCTGGCCAGTGAAGAATCAAGCAGGTACTCTGAGGATTCGATGGTTGGTAAATGCGCTTGTCATAGGTTTGATCCAAACTGGCCGCCAGGCAGTGGGGAAGGCAGCCTGAAAACTATCGGATCATGCGATATATGCTGTGAGAAACCAAGTATTAAAGAAATTTGCAGCGAATGTTGTGGAGTATCGCAAGAAATATCAATTTCGGGGCATTCTGAAGACGAACAGACCGTTGAAGGTTGTGATGCATGTTGTCAGACTCTAGAAGAACCAGAAATCCCATGCGACACTTGTTGCATAAAACTTGAGGAGTTATTAAATCAGGGAGTATGCGATTGTCAATTTCGCACCAATAAAATGTACAAAATCGGTGCTCAGGACAAAACTACAGAAAATTCTAATGCAGAATACTATAATGGACAAAATAATACAAATTTTAGTCAACCTTCCGCGCCGTTTGATCCTTGTGATTGTTTCACTGATGAAAATGATGCTTATCAACGCCAAGCACCCACCGAATTGGGCTATGTCCAATTACACGCGCAAGTTTACCCCGGCATTATTGCCAACACACAAACCGAATACTTTTATAAAGGCTTTGATCATTTTCGTAATTCTTACACCTACAAGAAATCCATGCCCGTCCAAGTGCCCAGTGTCCAACATGGTGTCCCCATGAATCCAAACACCCAAAGCGTCCTACCTGCCCGCAAGAATCCTTCGATTTGCGCGGAGTGTTGTCGTCCCATCAGTGTCGCTGTCTGCGAGGCACCGAAATCGGTTAATCATTGCTGTATTTTAGTATTGTTGGATTATGTTGAGAGTGTGTTTCTTTTTTAGACTGACATGAGGAAGGAATCCGATACGATGGGAACATTGGATGTTCCCAACGATAAGTACTACGGTGCGCAAACTGTTCGATCGACGATTAATTTTCCGATTGGTGGTGAATTCGAAAGAATGCCGGTGAGTTATTTATTATTTTATGGATTTAAGTGTTTAATCGTGTATGTGAGGTGAATGACATGGTTACTGAAATTTAGCTGATGGCTAAATGTTGCAAATTATCTTTTTTTATTGTTCTGTTGTGTTTTGCATGATTCGTAATCGTTAAGTAATCCAGCCAAACACGTTTACCGCAAATGTGTTGCTAAACATCCTTGAACAAATCAATTTGTATGAAATTTCTATGACACCATCATAAGTATTGTATGCTAACCTTGACACATGTATTTGTTATTCTCTTAGTACCCCGTCATTATCGCCATGGGCACGCTGAAGAAAGCCGCAGCCATTTGCAATGTCGAATTCGGCTTGGATAAGAACCTCGCCGATAATATTGTTAAGGCAGCCGATGAGGTAATCAGCGGCAAGCTGTACAACGACCACTTCCCGTTGGTTATCTGGCAGACGGGCTCAGGCACGCAGACTAACATGAACACCAACGAGGTGATTGCTAACCGCGCCATCGAATTGATGGGCGGTGAGCTCGGCTCTAAGAAGCCGGTGCATCCTAATGATCATGTCAACAAGTCGCAGAGCAGTAACGATACTTTCCCTACGGCTATGCATATTGCCACTGCTGTCGAAATTCATTGTACACTCATGCCCGGTTTGAAAATGTTGCATGAAAGTCTCAAATGCAAAGAGGAAGAGTTTGCGAAGATTATTAAGATCGGCCGCACGCATTTGATGGACGCTGTGCCGTTGACTCTTGGGCAAGAGTTTAGCGCGTACGCCAAGCAATTGGAGTACGGTATTGAACGTGTGGAGGCGACTCTGCCGCGTTTGTATAATCTTGCTCTGGGCGGTACTGCTGTGGGCACAGGTTTGAATACTCGCATTGGTTTCGCTGAGAAATGCGCGTCAAAGATCTCCGAACTTACGGGTTTACCATTTGTCAGTGCGCCGAATAAATTTGAGGCTTTGGCTTGCCATGACGCCATTGTGGAAGTCTCTGGCGCACTGAACGTTCTTGCTTGTTCGTTGATGAAGATCGGTAACGATATCCGCTTCTTGGGATCCGGTCCCCGTTGCGGTTTGGGAGAATTAAGTCTCCCAGAAAACGAGCCTGGTAGTTCTATTATGCCTGGCAAGGTCAATCCAACTCAATGTGAGGCTCTCACCATGGTTGCCGCGCAGGTCATGGGCAATCACGTCGCGTGCACCATTGGCGGGTCCAATGGACACTTTGAGCTTAACGTTTTCAAGCCAATGATGGTAGCGAACGTGCTGCGTTCAATTCGTCTCATCGGTGATTCCTGCAAGGCTTTCACTGAGCATTGCGTTGATGGAATCAAGGCTAACGAGGAGAAAATCCAGAAGATTCTCAATGAGAGTCTTATGTTGGTCACCGCATTGAACCCGCATATTGGTTACGATAAAGCGGCGCAAATCGCTAAGACCGCGCACAAGGAAGGCACTACATTGAAGGAGGCCGCGCTCAAGTTGGGACACTTGACTGAGGATCAGTTTAAACAATGGGTGCGTCCCGAAGACATGTTGGGACCAAAGTAAATCAATCAACCACGCTATACATCAAATCATGAACCCTCAAAAATTTATTAATTTTTAATAAATCATTTTTCGTTATGTGTGTGTACTTAATTTATTATTGTGTACATAAGTTAGCTGCGAGTAATTACGTTTTACAAGTTTATAAATCACCAGTGTTACTGTTAAATAAAGCGAAACATTTGTTATGAATATTTTAGGCTTGAAATGTGTGAAAATCATTTGATATTCAATTAAGTATTGGTTTTCTCAACGATTTGCGTTTGCGACATTAATGCTTCGGCTTCCTTTACTTGCATTTCATGTGTCTTGTCATATTTGGTACTTCTTTGGCATTTTTCTGACATCCAGTGAACTATGGGACTTATAGCATCTGGATTCACCTTTGAATCGGTATCGCTCTGTGTAAAATACGATATTATGACTCCTGCACCCATGGTTATCATTGCGCCAGCAAACGTGTAGTAGTAATGCGTGATTTTAAACAAAACAAATATGTCGTCTTCATTTGTTTGCCCAGTACTATAAAACAAACAACATAAACATCGCATGTCGGCATGTTTTTATAATTCTACCTGTGGCTGGATCCGGGTGACGTAATTGTTGTATTACTCGCACATCCAATAGTGGAGACCGGTTTTGCTGGGTACTCCATGTTTCCTTTAAATTGATGAATTTGACTTCCACCTATGATAAATGTCATGATTGCGATGGACAGCATAGTTCCATACATTGCTCCCTATAAATATAATTCATATTTTTTTGTTTTTCTTTTTAAAATAAATCATTTAACAACCTTTGAGTTTGCAACCGGAAACAGCATACCCATCGTAAACAAACCCAATAGCGGTCCATTTGTAATACTGCTCAATGCAAAATTGATGGGTACAATGCTACCCATGTGTTCAACAACGTAAACCAAGAGAGTACTGATTAATCCAATCATTACTACCATAAACTTCAATATATTACTAATTGTCTTCTGTCCGGTACTAGCAGGTACAAAAGGACTGACAAAGTCTTCGTACATTGACGCTGCCAGGCTGTTCATGCATGCTGAGAGTGTACTCAACGCAGCGCTCAGAATTCCTGATAGAAACAAACCCGCTAAGCCAGGAATCAACGTGGCGACTTCCATTACGTAATACGGTAACACCTGATCGTGCTTTTTAATCTTACCAGCCGTGAATGGATCACATTCGTAATATTTTGCATACATTACCAATCCGATACCAAGGACCAATGTTTGAATGAAGAGCATTCCAATGTAAAACAATATAATGGACCTGCAAACAAGATTATTCAATAAAATGAAGCCAAGGACGAATAAAAAAGGTAAACTTACTTTTTGATGTCTTTCTTTGTGGGCAATGATAAGAACTTTTGCACGAAACTTTGATTAATGGAAGCATAACAGAAGCCCATACAAAGTGTACCAATTGATGTGGCCAGTACTGTATCTCTTTTAGTTGGGTCAATATCAAAATCAAAATCAAGTCGATGGCTTTCATCAGCTCTCTTCCACACATTTTCAATTCCACCAGCAACATTTACTCCCTGGTAGAATACCCCAATGATTGAACCAATCATTACTACAAATTGAAGGGTATCCGTCCACACCACAGCTTTTAGGCCACCCATTGTCGTGTAGACTATGCATACTCCACAGACCACTGGAGTGATGTAATGGATGCTAATGTGGGTAGCTAAAAATTAAAATGCATGGTAAATTTAAGTTAACGTAGGGACCAAGTGAACTTTATTACTTACCTTGCGCAAGAGCTAGCGCAGGAATGTATACTACTATAGGCAAATACAATAAAGTATTAACTGTGTATAAGCCTGAAGAGAGAAGACGAATCTTTCGGTCAAACCGTAACATTAAATATTCGAAGGCGCTGACCACTTGCAACTTGTAAAATACTGGTATGTACACGTAATAAGTAAGTATACATACTGGAATTAACATTAACGCATAGAGGTAATATGTTATCCCAAAACGATAAATATCCGTCGGGACTCCAAGTAAAGTTATGCCAGAAATATTACTACAAATATGGTTATGTTACTACCTAACCAAACTCTTAACACTTTTGTTTTACCTTGCTACAAGAGATACACCAATTGGAATAGCAGACATCTTCTTACCACCAAGTAAATACTCATCGGCACTATCCTGATGGCCACAAAAACCAAAATATAACCCGATTAGGACACTCAACGATAACATCGCCAAGAACAATCCATAATCCATCCAGGAAAAGGTAACTTGAATATTTTCAAACGACACATCGCTCACATTCATGGTTAATACAATGTTCTAAATTTCAGGTGCTCAATGAAACTATAGCGAAACTCCAAATATTTCAAATTAATATTTGCGTGACGTGAAATTACACAATATTTGAACATATTTACATTGTGGTATCTTCATCAGTTGATGCCGGTGCAAATTAAATACCTTCATAAATTAAACTGTTTGTCGTAGCCACACACAAACAGAAACTAATCTTCCTATGTAAAGTTTTTCCATGTGTATCATGTTCATGGTGATGGAAAACAACGAATTTGTCATCGTATCATCAAAAATTAAACACAAGGCAGCTAAGCTTAAGCTGTGACACATGTCAGACAAGAAAAATTTAGCACAATCAGGATTATACTTGCGTAAATCAACTTACTTAATAATTGAATTGATTGCGTAGTTTAAACAGACAAAATGAGGTACATTGCAAGGGTATTAACTGTTGCCCCACAGGCAACAAAAATAAGAACATCTGAAGAAGAATTAATGAATGAATGGAAATCGAAATTAGCAATTCAACAAACAAAGGCTTATGAAATCACACAACGAATCATAACAAACATTCGCATATTCTTACTGGTGATAATATCAAAGTTAATATGTTACTTGTCAATAAAGTTGTTATATTTTCAGGGAAAATCTTCAAATTACGTGAAACCTAATATATCAGCAAAGGACTGCTTCTTTATCGTGTGTCATTTACAGATAAACATACGTTTTTTAGTTTATTACATTGATTTAACCTTAGAATGGGGTGGATGTAAGTAAATTTAAAAAAAACTCATCAAAACGTAACTTTTAACATTTTTGTAAATTCACAGTTCTGGTATGGATCGTTTTCACAGCAATGAACATCCTAATCTGCTCCGGTTTGGCTTTCATGTACACATTTTTCGGTGACTACACCTCTCGGACATTCCTCAGCGTCTGGGACATGAACCCTTTCTTCCAAGGCATATCCACATGTATGATATTCTGGGAAATGTGCAAATTAATCGAAACGGGCTTAATCCTTGCCAGTGGACTTATGTCCTTACGATTATTCTTCGAATTAGACTGGGAAAATACGATAGTTTCTTACAAACCCCAAATATGCAACACAACAGACAAGTTTGGTTATAAACCTGGCTGGGCTGTCCCGGTCGGAATATCAGAAAAATTCACCCTTATGGGGTATAACTTAGTCTCCAATTCGTACTCCAATTGGAGTTATGATCCCGAACGTGGACAATTGATGGGTTTAATCTGGTTTGCAGTGATTTTTATAAGAATTTTTCAATATCAACGTTATCGCATATTTCCACTGAGGGTGGTCTTTGTACTCCTCAAAGTTATGCTACTAATTCTTGTGGTTTATGTTGTTATTATGCATCGAGATCCTGCAATTGCTGTGGTTTATTCAAACGCATACACAAATCTTTTTGTAAGTTAAATATTTAAATTTTTAAAACATTTCATTTATATTTGTAATAATTTCAGGCATATTTACAAATATTTGCGTTTAGCATCAGTGATTACCTGCCGTCGCACTGGGTGACCATTGGGTATCTTCATCCGAACATTAGTCAATCAAGATTAATTTGGCGCATTTCATTTTATAAGATTTTCACTGGATTTATGATATATTATGCAATACCATACTTTCTGGCACCATTCCGGGAATATGTACGCATTGAAGAGGATAATTGTCTTAACTTCTTTGGTAAATATAATATATCAACAATTTACTGTATTGAAACAGAATTTATTACAGGTATTCACTTTGTTTTCATTGTAATACCAATTGCAATCGCCCGTATGCCTGTGAAATACCTCAGTATTCTAATATATGCTGGATATATCCTGTTGACACTATTTGAAGGAGTATGTTACTTGCTCATCAATATGGAGATGATTCTAATGGCGTCGCATATGAAATCGGTGCTTGTCTATCGCTTTCGAAATCTGATATTTATAGTCAGCAGCTTGTTTGTGTACTCTTTATCGCAATTATTAAGTGTTAACTGTATGCATTATGTGTTGCATTACATCAACTTCCTTTCGAATTACTACACGTCTGGAATATTGCTTATTTTAACAATGCTTGGTATTGCTATCTATGGACTGGAAAGGATCAATGCTGATCATCATTTTTTCTTTGGGTGTGCTTACAATCACTTGAAGTCAACTAAATTGCTTGTTGTGGTGTGCACGGTAAAATAATTGATCTTATTTGGTGATGGTGTTGTTAATATTTGTATTTTAGTGTCTTTCTGCTGTGTATATTCTAGAAACTGCTATATTTCACGTGGATCGTGATGCAGTTGATGGAATTTACTGGACTATTCTTGGGATTTGTTTACTGCCCTTCACTTTTGGAGTTGTTGTTACTTTGTGCCATAAAAAAGTGGGTTCTTGGATGTTTTTGAGGTTTTTGTTTGATGGTTTATGTAATTTTGAATGATTTTAGTCTTATCATGGATTTTTTCATCCTTTGACCACGTGGGGACGTCCGCAGGAATTGGTACGAACTGCTAGGCGACGTAAAGATTTGCGGAGAATGTTTATCTATCGTACTAAACGAGTGTGTGATCACAATTGTCTGCTGAATCATCCGATTCTTATGCGTGATGTGAAGAAAGAAATTAAACTGCGTCAAGAGGTGTTGCAAGAGCAATTGGACATGCAAAATGGACTTTTAAATATTTCTCGTGAGCAATCGATGCAATCTTATTAAACCGGTGTAATAATTTTGCTGCATTACAAAGCATAATTGCTGGGACAATCATAGAAAAACACTATTTACTACCTGTATTTTGTAGTCATGACTTGTTATAAAACAGTTAAAAATATCTTGCAGAATATGTATAACAATTAAATTTAGTTTAAATGTCTCTTGGCGACATCAAGGAAAAAACAAAGATAATTCTAAGACAAGACTAGAAGATGGAGCTAGGATGCATTTATGTGAAATATCCTGCTGAAGGCCGTAGAGGCCATGCATATCTTCTGGTATATGCAAACATTAACGCGTGTGTGATGCGGCGCAACTCGTTCTTATCTGCACCCCGCTTTGCACGCCGCTACGCAAGGTTGCGCGTGCCGGCGATCTTTCGCACGCATGCTCATGCACAGATTATTTTTTATCAGATCGGCAACAGTCGCGTTGTAACGTTCATTTCAACGTACAGATCTGCCGAAATGACTGTTAAAAATTGTGTCCTGTGTCGATGTCGATCCATTGGACCAGTTGAAGAGTAATCCACGCCGTCATTAAGAGTAAGACTTGTTGAACCGTATTTATTTGCATATTAGACGAATGTGGATGAACACGGCATTGATATTTTACATAATTTCGCCTGTTGATTTGATTCTTCATTGTTTGTTGTCGCGTGCCGAATTAAACGAATATTATAGTTTTGAATCGGCCATCTTTTTTAATTCTGATTTTTGTTTCTAGTTGGTCTGTGCTGATGGTTCCATACTAAGTATAACACGAGGCAATAATAGTCGGTAAAATATTTAGTTTGCATAAAAATTTTTGATTGTTATGAGATAGAGTGCAACTATGTCTTTTGAAACTGCTCTTGTTTACGATTTTTGCTTGATGTTACATCTTAAGTTATCGCACTGGTCAGGTGACCTACACACAAAACACGCTTGTTTACTATCCCTGGAATGCAGTTTCAAGCGATAAAGTTTACATCTATTGTGGATCGAAAACAATATTCACACTTTGTGAATTGTGTAGAATATTTTGTGATGTCACAACGAAGATCCAAACGTTAAATAAATAACGCATTTGGAATTTAAGTAGAGTATAGTACACGAAAACTAAAATAATTATTTAAAAATAAAGCGTAGTAATTTCTGATTTTATATCAACTAATTATTTGTTCTGCTTTTTTTTCAGGTATTTATTTGATTATATTTTCATGTAACCCGGGCGCGAATGTTTTCAGGTTTTTGTGTTTCTTGGACTTGCAAACTGCAACCTTGTAATTTCCTTGTCCTGTATTTTTATTACGTTTATTATTTCACTCTTCCAATTTACTTTATTCGTTTTTATTTATTTTTTTAATTTAATTTATTATTTTCAATTTTTATTATTTTCTTTTATTTTTTCCTTTAGTTTTTTGAGATTTAATTTATATCACACCTTGTTTTCCCTTACTTGGTTTGTTTCTCGAACAATATACGAGTAAGTGATTTACGGTAATTTCGGTTGACCTGGGGAGGTGTAACTAAATACTCATCGAGTGCGGTTCGCGGCACGTTTAGTTTCAATCAAAACTCGCGTTCAAATCCCCGGATAGCTATTGAAGGAGGGTCGTGCCATGTCCCCTTTCACCTGTTAGGGAAAGTACGCAATGTTCTTTATATTATAATTTTAATATCAATCGATTCGCATCACAATCGAGTGCTCGCCGCGTAATTTGTCCGTTTTTATAACTGCGCGGTAAAACCAAAGAGACAGTTCAAACCAAAGAGGGAAGAAGGTGCCGAGCAGACTACAAGCATCCTACCAGCGATGGTACTTGGACTCAAGATTTTGTGAGACTGACGTTGGATCCCAGGTTTTAAGGTGAGTGACTTCTTTAGATGCGCCTATTTCCTTAAAATTTATCTCGCGATTGCTAATTGCGCCGGTATTTTACATATGAACAAGGAGTATAATTGAAATTGTTTGGGGTAGGGCTCTTATAGATAAAGGAAAATCTGTAGACAGGTTCGGTTTAATATAAGGTTTTGTCCTTATACTTTCATTCACAATAGGCAACCAACACTTCACTGTAAATCCGATGAAAATCTCGGTAAACTAAAATATTATAGTCCGTAGCTATACTGAGTCATGCAAACATGCAACACTAACTTCCTACGTAGGTATATATTAAACTTATTTTAAGAACTTCCGTGTTTCGCACATGTGCTTATCGCTCTTAGACGTTCTAACACTTCTCTCCCACTCTTGAAAGTGCTATTCGTACTCGTAGTACTTATGAGAAGATGTCGTTAGTTGCGTACTGTATGACTCAGCTCGTGCACACGCACAAATTAATTTCATAGTCAAATCACTAGTTAACTAGTAGTTTATTCGATTTTAAATAAATATGGCAATACTTCCGATTTCGTAAAAAAAGCACTCATTAAATATGTCTGCTGTTGAACAACAAACGCTTGTGTTCGTCTGTAAACACAACGAGAACGACGAACGCGTCAAAGTTCTACTTGGTCTAAAGAAAAGAGGTTTCGCTGTCGACACGTGGAATGGCTATGGGGGGAAAGTTAACTCTGGTGAATCAGTGTTAGATTGTGCCGTTCGAGAACTAGAGGAAGAAAGTGCTCTACAAATATCAAGCAAACATTTAGATTTTGTTGGTCTACTGAAAGTACAGTCAGAAAACGCACTTATAAAAAAACGCGATGTGTATCTTTATATAATTGATTATAAAAATTTTAAGCAAACAATTCAGCCGTTAGAAACAGCGGAAATGAAACCACAATGGTTTCATATTAATGATATTCCGTATAATAAAATGCTACCAGATGCCAAAGAATGGTTGCCATTTTTGTTACAAGGGCGTAAATTTAATGTAACTGTTTTATTAAAAGACGGAGATAAGTTTACTTATAATATAATATTTAATGACGATAAATAAGTAATTTAAATATTTAACAGCATATAATAAAGTATTGTGTATAAAATTTATGTGTTTGTTTTGTTACTCAGAAACTTTACTTAAATATAAGTAAAAAATATTCAAATTTTGAAACTAGATTAAATTATAAACTCACTTAGAAACGCGCTCTAATTTATTTTATGCGAATTTAGTTAATGCTTGTTACCACCAGTACCCGGTGACCTTGTAAAGTGCAACCGGTGATGATTTAGAAAATTTGCATCGCAATTCTCTATATAAAGCGATACGATCGCAGTCTTATCAATACAGTGTCAAAACCTCTATTCAAACATGAAGTTACTGGTATGTTAAAAATTTCTAAGATTAGATTATTAATTAAAATACTTATTAATGCATTTTTACGTTAATTGGCGCAGTTTGTTATTGCGTGTGCTATTGTGGTCGTGTCCGGTGATGAATTCACAGGCACATACCCTGGCCCTCAACATTTGCCCGTGATCGGCCCAAATGGTGTGCCGGTAGACACCGCCGCCGTCCAACACGCTACCGCCTCTCACTTGCATCATAAACTCGAAGCTCAAATTCGTAACGGAGATTATAGTGTGCGCTATCCCGATCACGATTACCACTACGCTGATTACTACCCGTCTCATGATGGTCACTATAACCACCATCAACACGATTATTTTGAAAACCAACATCATGGTGGATATTATGAGCATCATCATAACCATCATGGTGGTCATGGTGGCCATCATCATGGGCATCACAAAGCCTATTAAAAGTTGACATTTGAAGCTTATTCTGATTCTTTATTACCGATTTAAATAAATACCATTCAATAATATTTTAATGATAATATTATATTCTATAACCCATTTTCTTTGGCATTTTTTGAGGTTAGAAATGTCCCCACCCTTTTCTTGTAAAGTTATTTATCTATATTTTACATAACGACATCAATATTACTCGTTAATTATCCAACTTGTATTTTTATTTACCGTTGAAGCATGAAAATAACAAAACAACAAAATAACAAAAAAAAACATCATGCAATATTTTGCCCTGACCTATTAAAACGATGAACAAAAACCAGATGTACACTACAAGATTATTTGGAAACTAATTTAACTTCAGTAAAATGTCTAAAAACTTTATTCTATGTTGTTATTCTATGACAGCCATATTTTTTATATACCTACATCTAATTTATTAATTACTTGTTGTTTGCATTTCTATTTTCACATAATAATTATAATAAATAAGCTCACCAATAAACAGGCAAATCGCCAATACGATACCAATTCCATAAAGTGAAAACACTGGTATAAGTTCCTTCAATTCAATTTGTTTCTCTGGATTAAAACTTTGATGATAATATTTATTCTCTTCACAAAATATTTTATTCAATGTCAGGGACATCCAATACTGCGGCACTCCACCTTCGAATATTCTTTTTATAAATTTATTTAACGTGAGTTTCAATGGTGAGCCATATTTTACAATAAAACAAACAATACACGGGAATGGTGACTTCTTCATAATGCGATGAATCATTTTACCGTTTTTATAGTTTTTGCGATTAAGTACAGCCCATTCCGCGACACTTCTTTTATGAATAATTGCATATTGACCGTGTTCATTAATTAATTGAGTTAGGGACTTTTTCGGATCAATAAATATTCGATCCTTCAATATTTTCACTGATGGCTCTCCGTATTTTACCAGATATCGCTTGTAACGCTCAACTGTGTACATTTCCAGTCCAGATTCGGCGAGTTCTTCAAACGTGTCGATTTCTTTCGGTTGATTTGGAACTGTAATGATGCTCATCAGCAGCGAGGTGTAATGCACCACAATCAGAAACGAATAAAACGTGTACAAAAGTACCAAAACTCGTCCGATGGTTGCCTTCGACATCGAATATGATTGGCCAAAGAATATACCAAATGTATACAAGGCAGCGGTTGATACTCGGTCAAAAGTATCGGTTTTTATGAACACAAACATGCAGAAAAAGTTGAATATCAAAACACTCAACCATACAGCGCCTTCGAAACTTTTATAATATTCAATGGTAGCATCCGCGTTTTCACACGGCACCATAATAACCAAATCATCACGATCATGCGGATATGTATACTCTACTAAATTTTCAAATTCCGGTTTCATCAGTCGTGAATTCAACGCGACAGACGTCAAGTTTCTTGCTACGTCCCCAAAAACACCAGTGATATTTTTATGTCCAAGATTTTCGCCATAATCTATTCCGTCAGTGGGTTTTATATAAGTTCCCGTCGCGTTGATCCATTCTAGAAAAGTTGTTGCCAACAAACCATCTCGTCCTGTATAAGATTTACTATGCTTGATAGCAATGGCGTCTCTTGGATGATCAAACATCGAGATTTTTATATGATGTCTTTTAAAATCGACCAATTTATTATAAAAGTAGTCTTCGTCTTGAATCTCAAACCAGAATTTTTCCATCATGCTGTCGTAAGTGAAAACACTTCCGTTCGTATAAACAAAAATCACATTGTGCATTTGCAATTTCAACAGAGTGTCGACAATGCACTCATGATCAATGTCAGTCTTCATTACGATCAGCAACTTGTCACGCACTCGGTAAAAATATAAGCTGTGCATTGTCTGTAATGCATTCGTAAATGATTCATCGTCGTCAATCTTATACAGATACAATTTACTCTCTTCGAAAGTGACAAAATCATTAAAATCATTCTCAGCATTATATGGACCGTTAAATTCGCGTACTCCTGAATAATCACTGGTGATTTGCACGCAGTAAAATGGATGATTGCCAATTAACTCGTGTATAAAGTGGTCATCATGTGAGTTTTGGTACATGAACACTAAACTTCTAATACCGATAAAATTGCTACGTACAACCCGAATAAACTTTCCGGTCACATCGAACTCATCATTACTTTCCTCCAAGACATCCAGTAAAAAACTCGCGTAGAATCCATGTATCAACGTCATGGTCACGAATACTCTGTACATTATCTTATGTACCACGTATTAAATACCTAAAAATACTTGTTAATGTGATATGTTGTCACATCGGCCACAATATTCACTTTTATGACGATGGCACACACGGCGTTATTTTATATCCACCTCGGGGAGGGTGAGATCGCGTGCGATTAGAAAACACAGCGCATTATTTGTTCGTCGGTTTGCTAATCTACGTTTACAATTTTCAACTGTCTTATTTGCATTCGAGCCTTTTAGCTCGAAAGTTATTGCGTCCATTAGTCATGTGGATCGCATACGCAAACAAAACAAAATTGTCACATTAAAAAGCATCATGAAGTTTAAAATGAAATTGAATTTCGAACAACAACTAACCGTCCATTAACAAACATAAACACCGACTGAAACAACCGAAAATTGTTGGGTAATATTATTTGTATTGCTGTCGGCTACAAGTTTGAGTTATTGACATTGAACAGGTCAATGCGTGACTTTTTCTGATTAGTGATTACATTATGATTAGTTTATAAAAGTGTATTGATGTAATGTTGATATAAGTAAGTAGTGAATTGAAGTAATCCATTTAATAACGCTATTAGGGGATTGGTTGAACCGAAACATAAACATACAGGGGGTGAATTGTTGAAACCTATCAATATGAAGCAATAACAGTAATAAGAAAACATGTCAAGTTTTTTTTCTTTCAATTTATATATACAGTAGATAATCGGATATCAATAACAATCACATTAAAAATTAACCAATCAATTTTTTACAATCATATCTGAATAAATAACAATTTTATATGAGTACTATTTAAAACAATAGTGCTAATGTGAATATAAATAGTCCATCATCGCCAGCATCATCATGCGCCAATTGGCAAATACAAAAGATAACAATTTATCTATTCACCAAGTAATAAAATAAAGAAAAACAACAACGACAAAGTCAAATCCATGTCAAATGTAGCTGTCGATTTTTTGTCATTAACGTCTTGCAATTTGTTACTTGTTAAATTGGTCACTTTGATTCTCGTTCGTGTTTTGTGCATTTTCATTTGATTACTTCCCTTCATAACTCATCAATTATATTGTGTTACACATGTGAAGTTAATTTAAACATTGAGCACAATTAATTGTGTCAAAAATTAATCATGCTCAAGATTTATGAATGGCAGATTATTTTTTTCCTCAACACACATCGTAGAACTTGCATGACGTTTTGTATATCATTGTAATTATTTACATACATTGTTTGTTATGCTTATTTGTGATTTGTGTGGTGTGTGAATGTGTGAGTGTCGCTGTGTGTGGGAGTGTCCGGTGAGCTTTATGTACATGTACGATATCTAATTGATGTTCAACACAAAAATAACATACGAAAGAGTATTTGGTATCGATGAAAGAGTCGAATAATATCTCCAAAGTGAACATTATATCTTTTGTCTGAGTGCTTAGTAAGTCTTGTTTAAGTTGAGAGGAAATGTTTTCGCTCTCGCCTCGAAGTTAAAAACATCTCGTATCATTTCTCATCTCTTGTTTTTTTTTCTTCACTAAAATACAATATTGTAATCACACTAGTAGTCGAGTTTGCATACAAATGTCCTCGTCGGTATTCTCGTTTAACTAATCGTCTTTATTACGTTCTAGGTTATTGAAATCACTTAGTGGGCTACAATTGTAGTCTTGTTGTTGTTTAGGTTTTAATTCTCACGTTTAATTGAGCAGTTTTTAGCTTTGGTTCGGTTTAAAAAACGTTTATCGTAAGCAATCACTTTAGTTCACGTCACACTCGCAGTTCTTCCATGGGAATGTTCTGCTTGCTGTTCATCTGCGTGTTTTTCTTGGTGAGCGTGCCGGTGTTGATCAACTGTATACTGTGCGTGGACAGTAGCGGTTGATTTTCCGGCATTTGTCGTGGTAGAGTGTTGACGTTCGCTTTGCAGAGTTTCGGCGGCGGTGGTGGTCGTGGCAACGTTGCATTATTCTGTGGTAGATCAGCAAACTCGGGCGGAGGTAGTTGATGATGAGAATGATGATGACCTAAAATGGTCGCCGGGTCACTTTTGACTCCGATGATGCTGGATTCTAAATCACCGCAGATGTTATTAGGCATTTGCCCGTTTTCATTTCGTTTCTTCCCAGAACCACTTCCGTTGTGGCCATGACCATGCCCATTGTTATCATTCATGCGCGTTTTATCCCTCTGATAATACACACCAGCAAAGATGAGTACATTTAATATCAGTAATGAACATCCAATTGCAATAGTCACACTCAACGCTGTTGAATAAGCAGCGAAACCATCTTCTACCGGGTGTGATGTTGTACTAACACTACCACCTAACTCCTCAACGCGTTCGGATGAATCTAAACTTGGCGGTGTGGCTATACCAGACGCATTCTGACCTAAGGTCGTACGTTGATCACCAACTGGTGGTTCCAATGTGGTCAGTTTACGTGGATTGAGCGATGGCAGTTTTGGTAGCGGTTCTTCATCGGGGAGGTTGTGATGTGATCGTGGGACATCATCATTTCCGGGTTTATGCAGATCCGGCACCAGGTTCAGCCAGAAGGACAATCGATGCGCCCGGTAATGATTTTTCAGCTTGGGTTTTGTATCTACAACGAAACGGAATATTTTAGTCCCGGTGAACAATATTTACTTATGCAAATTAATGAATAATTCGACGCCTTGAGGAGATTTTATCTCGGCTCACCTAAATTTAAATATTTTTTATGCACGGCTTCGTAGGCTGTCCATTCGACGTTCTTGAAGCGATTGCGCTCCTGACGCGTCCCATGGGAGGCGTCCGCCTCTGGCGGTTCGTTAGGATTCCTGCAAAACGTCAATAATTTATCATGCCGCATGGCCAATACGTCTCTATCAAGAGGTGTGTGTATATTTACCCAGTGCGCACAAAGTTACTCCAGTAGTTCATGGTGGTCTCCGCGAGGACCACCTCGGACTTGGTGTAGTTCCGCCCGAAGTGCATCAGGCCCCCCACGAGAGGGGCTCCGAACATGTACGGTAGTTCTTCACCATGAATACAACCCTGGCGCTAAAAAAAAACACAAAATATTTAATTAGGTACATTTAAAAACTTTTAACTTTTAGGTTAGATTAAACGTACACCAACAAAATTAACAAAATTAATACAGACGCATTAAAGTAATAGCTTGGCGGGGGGCGCAAACTTCGATTAAAAATTAATTTGCATTCGGGCACGAATTTTAATTGCATTCTCTGGCATAGAGTACGAAATTGAAGTGATAAAAAGAAAAAGACCGTCTGCTGGTGCGCGCTTAGTATTAATATGCATTCGATGGGCTTCCGGCTCGTTTCATTTCTCTCGGCTTTCTTTCCACCCCGCGCGCCCGTTCAAATAATAAAGTTAAATTCGCTCCTTTAAGTTCGCTAATTTTTAACTTTTACTTAATATGAAAATATGCTGCGCGCCCCCGGCCCTCTTAAAGATTTCACTCGCGCAAATTTCATTTCGTCTCACACGAGACGCAAGTAATGAAAATAAATGTGCAGTCGTTTCGGTGGGGCACGGGGACGGCTGCCCTTTTAGCCTCGGCGAATGCGGAGTCTCGCCGTCTTCGTTATCGAGTGGCCCGGAAGCAGCGGGACAAAGTCGGAAGCGCGCAAACGTTATAATCATAAAACGAAACATGCATATTCCATACGCAGCGGCATTGAATTGACTTTATGCGCGGGGCGACTAATAAAAATTCCCAGCCCCAGTCGAAATTTGATGGCGCACGAAATTTTTACAAACATCGTAAAATGCAACTTAAAAATCGGATGTCATTCTGTGTTTGTCAAATATGTCTACGCATCTGAAATTATTTCATCTCGTATTTTATCGCAGAAACACTTATGACAAGCGCGTAAAACATTAATATTTATACAGACGCGCGTGAAATTTTCATTCTCGCACTTTATTTAGTTAGGTTATGTTTTATGAGCGTTATATGTAACACACGTTACACTCTCACCGAAAAGTACCTTCATCGTTGTAATAAACATACTGGACGGAAGACGGCGGAATTTGAATATCGTAGCACTATAATTTACGATTGCGTAAAAGGTGGTACGGGTGAGATTACAATGTCCAAGGGGGGAATTTTATGAGTTTATGACATTGAGGTAGCGGTACTTACATGTGGTATACAAGAGGGACGAGTTTTTGTAGGTTATGTGCGGAATTCTCTAAATTATTAACGAATTACTTAAAAATACATAAATTTTGAATCAATTTTTGAAAAAAATATTTTGTTTAAATTGAAGTTTGAGATATTTTTGATCAAAATAAACAAAAACTGCTCCTACTATTACTAAAAACGTTAGTTTTACGTTCCTGCGAATATTTTTTGGCAAAGTAGACTCTAAAAGAGACACGAAATAAAATTGACAAAGTTATGAACACCGTCACACAGCGGCTGTACACGGCTGACAGTTATTGCTGTAAAGGAGTGTCACAAAGTTTCAAAAACAAAGCGCATTTTTACGATCTTTGCATAACATTACGGCCCCAGCTAGTTGAAACAAAAAACAAACTTTTGACAAAACATGCTCTGCGCCTGGTATTGCTTCCAGTGATAAACAATTTTTACGATGCAGTGTTTATTTCGACTGTAACTAAATTCATTCGTGTGACTGACTGAAATTGTGTTTGCTCTCGGAGGCTTGGAGGTTCGATATCGCGCGGTTGGGGTTATAATTTGGTGAAATAATCCCAAATGATCTGTTAAATGACTGTCATGGCGGTCTCAGATGGCGCTGCGTGAGCGGACAATATTGGTGGCCGGGCAGTTTTGTTTTCATTGCCAAGTAATCCCAGATACAATTAAGCGGAACAAAGCGACGCTGATAGAAAATGATTTCGCCCAAACTAATCACGGGTTTATTGTCGTTTGTTAGCAAATAGAAGAATGCGTACTCCGGAGGCAATTAATTTGGTATTTTATTATACAGGATGTGTGGAATAACAATCCAAATTTCTAATGTCAATAATTTTAATTTTATCAATTAAATTCTTGTTGATAATGTTTGGCGGAGCTGACAATTTAATAGTGAACTTAATTTGCATTTGAAGCTTCAATTAGAATTACGAAATTAACTCTTTGATAAAAAATTGTTAAACGAGAAACTTTGGCGTTGATAAAAATGTAATTTTGCGTTCTGCAAAGAAAAAAAAGCGCATATAATTACACTAATTGCTTAGAAAACGCCCGAAAACCCACTGGGAAAAGTGAACATTTGACATTATTTTCCAGTAATTAATAATTAAAACCTAATTAAGTTCATTCGTTGCGTGCACTTTTGCAGGAAAGAAATTGTGCTCGTGCGCGCGAAGAAAATTTGAAGAAAAATGAAGAAGTAAAGTTGCCGTACGAAAAATGGCGAATGATATAAACTCGTTTTAGTTTTGCGTCGTTTACGTCGCGCAGTTGCGCTTCACATCTTTTTCTATATTTTTGCGCAGTGTACTCATTAGGAACTAGTGAATTATCTCAGCGCGGATAAGAAATGCGAACTTTTCCGGCGTAGGCAAAATGGAAAAATTTAAGAAACCTCGTCAGGAAAACTCGCAGGAATATTTTGTAGGTAATACACTCTTGCAGATACACAAAATTGTCTCCGAAAGATATTACGCGACGTACAAATGATATAAAAGTTTGTTGTTGCGGAAGTAAATTGCGAAAAATGAAAATAACTTCAAATTTAATTCTGTAGGCGACAATTTCGATTGTAATTTTTGTTTTTTGAAGGTGTGTGAATGGTGATGATGTGTTTGTTTGATGTTTTTTTGCACATTAAGAACAAATACACAGGAAAAGCGGCGAACTTTGCGCCAACTATAATTAAAAATAAATAAAAAGCGAGCGGTGGGCGGACGCCCCCGTCGACGCTATAAATAATACATTTTCCGGGCGAAATGTTCGCGCGACGGCGAAAATGAGCGCGTTTTCGACTGGCTGATATATTTGTATTCGTACGTGCGCATGTTGGAGGAGTGAATCCGTGGCCCAGCGGCGGCAAAAGCGACATACAAACAAACACACACACACACACTGTGCGTTTGAAAGTCGCCACCAGTTTGACTTTCAAACGGCTGTAGTTACACACTGAACACATTTACAATTGAAATATTGTGTGTTGCAATGTTTCATCTGCAGGCTAGTTGTGCAACACCATGAAAACATTGTTTCAACGCAAGAGAAAAACGCGACTTACATTTTTAGGTTATATAAACGCCATCTAGCGGAAAATCTAAGTGGCATAAATTTTTATTGAGCGACTTGAACCATTCTTAATAAATCATAATTGCTAAAAAAAGATGAAGTGCTAAACATAGTCCACAGTTGAAACGCGCACGAAAGTTTTAATTAACATCGCGAATTGCAGTCGAACGCGCGGACGCCAGAAGAGTCGCACTTGCCCATCCAGCATCCGCTTCCCGGGCGCCTGCCATATCCGCCATTCGCCATCCGCTATCCGTTAATAACTAATTAACGAAATAATTACTAGCGTGCCACGCAGAAAACTTAATAAGTTTCAGTTTTATCTCTCGCGACTCGCACGCGCAACTTCATTTCATTTTATCAAGAAGTAGATGAAACTGCGAGTTCAGTAGGTGGCGTTGCGGGGCCTGAGGGGAGGGGGTAATGCAGTGTTGGTTGCAATGCGCGAGGCGAATGACTGCAGACTCGCAGAATGGGTGGATGGCAAATGCCAAAGAGAAACATTTTAAGGGGGCTTTAATTAAGTTTTATAACTTGTGTCCGACTACAACGTTTCGAACTATGTAGATACTTATTTTTTATGAAAGCGTCAAATTTAAAGTTGTAAAATCATAGCAGTTGCGGTAAATTTTTATTTTTTTAAGTTAAATTGTGCCTGGGACACATGTTGCAGTTCCGGGAAGTGGGTAATTTTCGTCGTATCGTGTGCAAACGCCATTTCGGTCGGATCGTTTATAACAAAACATTATGCGCACGCCATTGGCAAGATCTAATTGGGTTTATAATTCCATAATCGATTCCTCCTATGCCGCCCTCGTATTGTGCACGTGCGAATCGCGCTATTAAACGAAGCTTATCGGACGCTGTACGCATCAATTTGGATTTTCCCATCCGTCGATGCCGCCGCAAGCTGCGAGCGCGCTTCCGGTTTTCCCATCTAGCATCCGCTATCAGCGCGGCGGCCATTATGCAAAGTGTTCGGTGCCACACGCCCGCGTTTTTCTTATACCGTCGAAACGTCGAAAACGAGAAAACATTAGATTACCACATACACACACACTGGCGCTCGGAGGGTGAAAGAACAAGTCTTCAATCACACATCGAACACCGAGTTACATGGATAATCCATCACCGGAAATGCCTAACGTGTTTTTTTGGTTGCGCGACTGAAACTTAACAAGTTATTTTAGCACTTTGTTCAAGTTTCAAGTCTTGGAATAAAATGCAAATGTAGGAAAATCTCGTGGGCGGTAAACAAAAATGTTATTTCTTTGCGAAACGCGACACGAGTAATGTAATGTTAAGAGCCTTTTTGGTCTTGGTTATAGCATTACCAACCGGAATTCATGACCTCTTCGTGTTGGGAGGCATTTAACGCGATGCAATATAATTTTTCGTTGCATATTACGCGCACTGTAAGAGTTTTCTTAATTATGCAATCATTCCGGTTGACATTACATGAAATGGCTGCGCGCGCGGCACACATAAACGAAACCGAACGAATAAAAAGTAAAACAGTTGAATATTTGAACATCTGATGCTATTAAAAACGCGACAAGGACACGCTATGGCATAGGAAATACAGAAGGTGGCGCTGGTACTGGTACTGCAACATGCAAATTAACGTCCGCAGCCAGCCCACCTTATACGCGCATATGTTGCATAAAATAATATGCAAATATTAAACGAGCGTCGCCGGTTGGCGATAGCAACTAGTTTTATTTAACTTTGCGCATTTGCTAGAAAATTGAAAACACAATCAACCAGCAACCAAACCTCAAATATGCAAACGCAGCCTAATTTTAAAAATATTATAGTTTCAATAATTAACTCGAAAGAATACGGGACTTAAAAAAGTGTTAACAACGATGTGCACTTTTAAGCTTCACATTTTAGCATTTTAACCAGCCGGTTTTCTGCTGGTGTTTGCTCGCAACAACAATGTGGTAATATATTCACGCTGCCAACATTGTGCTTGCGCTCCAAGCGCGCTAGTTATACGAGAGAGGGTTGTTATCCCGAAAACTTCCAGCTACCCCCGTGACTCGACTCTCCGCGTTGAGTCTGTAGTTAATATGTTTGCAGGTCGAGTTCTACCGTCACAAAAAAAGCGAACTTAAAACAATCTGTAATATACAAGGCGGTCGCTGAAATATTTTTATAATTCCTGCAATATGTGTTGCCTATCTTGATGCGCTAGGATGATTAAAATATTTATAAATTAAAACCATGCATGTGCTCAATATTTTACGAGCGCATTAGCCGTGAAAGACTAAGCTGTGCCAAACGTTAAACCGTTCGCATGTAAATATTTCTTTATGCGTTTTTTACGACCGAAACGTTTTGTTAACAGTGCTCCCTCTTTGCTTGCGATGGCGGCGAGCAAGATGAGCCCAACGTGCGCAAAGCGCAAATAAATGGGATAAAAACGAACGCGAAAATAAATTCGACATTAATTTTCGACGTGTGTTCCAACCCACTACGGGTGGTGCTCCCAGCATGCCCTAATAGGTTCGCTTCCTTCTAACGCATCCGAAAGCGTAAGGGTTGTCTCTCCTTTCATTTCGTTGCTAGCTGGAGGTTTTCCCGAGCTGGGCCAGTGACGGATTAGGACGATTATAAAGATTGAGTGTATCTTTTCCTTAAGTAGACACAAAGATTGATTAAGTGAAAATCTGAGTTGAGGATAGAAGGACCAAGACGTAGAGGGAGACAAGACGTTGTGTATGCGCTGGGTGCTTTTAGTTGCCTACATTCAAGCCGAGTTCGGATGGTTGCGATGGCAGCTCGTTATCGCCGGAGCACTTTCTCCATCCTCTACGTTCGCGATTTCCTTCGTTTCAGTCGGTGTTCCCGAAGCAAGAACGTCGTTACTGGTTTTCTTTTCTTGAAACTTTTCACCTCACGGCGAGTTTAGGTGTTTTCTGTACGGTAGGCAACACGCAATACAATGCCAAGCGAAACAATGCTTTTTATCACAAAAGCAAACAAAAATGAAACCTGCAGACCAAAGAAAGTTAAGTTTGTGTGTGCTTTTTTTGCTCGGACAACAAACACAAAACGCACAAAAAATGAAAGGTTGCTTCCTTGCGGTGAAAAGGAACGAAAGAATGAAAGAATACACGACCGCCCATTAAAAGCTTAAGAACATTATTCATTCCCGCTCAAAGCATTGATTGCCTCAGTAGAGCAGAGAAGAAAAGACGCCCCGACGATCGGCAGGAGGGTGGATACTTCCGTTACTTATTGATATTTAATGGCGGAGGCGCCGCAATTGCAGTTTGCGCTCGCGCTGTATATGAAACCGTTCTACGTTACAAATCGCTACAAACACCTTGCCGACTTCAATAGCGCCAACGCGCTCGCAAAAAGAAAGCGATGAAAGGCGAAGCTAAAGACTACAGACGCACGCGGCGCTGGAGAGGGGAGAATAAATGGAATTTATCACTCGGAACAGTGGAGAAGTGGAGCATTTGCACTGGTATCTCTTTTAAGTAACGCTCGGTCGCTTTTCGACTTCGATGAATTCGTTTCCAGACAACCCTTTCTTCCACCTTCGAAAGAAGCACACAAAAAAGACGGAATAGAAAGGGTGCCTGTGCAATGCGAACGTCTCCCATTCGGAAACTCTATCTATCAGGTTTCCGCTGCGGATGCAGGCAACGGGGGGCAGATGGCGTCGTAATTTTTGGTTTTCGTGAATCAAGTGCATAATTATAAAAGGCCGGGGGCTTGGAGTTGGAGTTGGAGTTGCTTTGAAAAGAGAACGCCCGCCCCTGCCCGGATGCGGCGCGGGTGAAATCGGCCGAGCGCCACTAAATCTTTCCAGCCGTCTGATTTTTCATTCTGTTCCTTTTCGGCCCGCCGCGTATCTTTGGCGCGGGACCTGCGTGTGGGGCTGCATTCGAAATGGTGGACATTCGGCGCGACCAAAAAAAGGCCAACGCGGAAACACGTCTAATCTGTATTCGAATACGGCGTATTTTATCCGTTTTTTGAGTTAAAAAAGTTTTAAGAAAATGATACGCTATCTGGAAAATATTTCTTTGACCAAAAATATTTTTCTTTTCCGGTTTTGAGTTCTAGAAGCCGAAATATTTTTTTAAAAGTAAATAATTTGTTTTTTCCGCACGCAAACAAAGAAATACTTCTGTTTGCAATTCGGCAAATTAAAAATAAATTCTTCGAACACAATCCACAAAGCTGTTTCCACTTTATGATTATGTCTCGATGCGTTTGAGCGCGTTCGGCGTTCCGGTGTTGTGCCAGCCCAGTCGTAATGGTCGAAGTTATGACAAGTTCGAAAGTTTTATAGTGCCGCGCGCGAGCTACCCCGAATCTCGGCGAAAGCTTGTACAAATAACTGTTACACTATTTAAGTAGAAAGTTTTTATGTGAGTTGCACGCCCCCGCCAGCCGCCGCTTAAGTGACGGATCTTTGTTTGCGTAGCGTCGAACCGAACGCAACGGAAAAGTTAAGCTTCCGTCTTAATCTATTTTTCTACTCGGCGTGTTTACTCTATACTCTAGTCTAATGCGTGCAGATTTTTTATTCAAAATTCTTACCTGTGGATAATCACCGAATTTCGTCTGATAGTCAAACACGTATAGATACGAATTACGATGCTCGGCCGAGTGTAGATCAGCGGTGTGAACAACGGGTGCGACGTATTGGGCGTCGGAGAGCGCCTCGAGGGTTTCGTCGCGGATGTTGATGGGATGCTGGACGGGGCGCTCCCAGTCCGTGTACTCGTTGACGATGGTTGCGAGGATCTCCGACAGGTGATAGCTGTAGGTGTTGCGTACGAATGTACGCAGTATCTTCGACCTTCTGTCAGCCTCGATGCCATACTGAACATCTTCGCCGTTGAAGGCAAAATACGCCTCTGCTTTCACCACTCCCAACATGATGTCGTATCTGGAAAGCTTGGCGACGACGGATTTGCGCAGCAGGACGTTGTTGAGTATGTTGACGGCGTTCTGCGGTTCGATCTTTGCTGGTTTACCATCGTATTCATTATTGTAATGGGGATTATCACCTGCGGGCATTGCACATAAATCATATTAGTTACATTGCGGGTTGGTTTTGAGGTTTTTGAATGTGGCTTACTTGATGGTTCTCCGGTATCTATCACGACGCCATCAACGCTGGGTCCGAAGGCGAAGGCAAATTCGGGCGCGATGACAGGAGTGGACATGAGAACATCGAGGGGCTTTTCGCGTAGGCACTTCAGGAGATGCTGGTGCGGCAGTTCAGGCGAGCAGTTAGCGTGGATGGCGACCTGCGCCGCGTATCGGGACGGCTCCTGCACCAGCGCCCAGGGGGATAGCGCCGAGCCAGACATCAGAATGGCGCGATGGAAAAGCACGCCTAGAAAACAAACCAAAGAACAACCAAATCGGATTACTTCGCTTGCTCGCTTTCTTGCTGGCAATTACCGAAATAATATTATTGTCAGAGTAAACTCGTGCGCGCGCTCATTACACGGACGTGGAAATCACGAAATCGAATTTCCTCCCGGCGAATTGCACGGAACTTTTTTTTATATTTTTTATTGCCTTATTTTTATTTCCCCTCTGGTCTATTATTCTACTATGCGGATAGCGCATTGAGGACATGGAAACAATCTGCAAACTCGTAAAATCTCAACGTTGCAATTTCAAAATTTAAATCTCAAATTTACTTTTTGAAATCTCTTCCGCCTTGTATTTTTTGTTTGTTTGAGTGTTTATGCATATTTTTATGCGCGTGCATTTTGCATTTTCTCGGTCATGATGCGTCCTCGTCCTCGACGTCGTCGTCGTCGGAGGGAATGTATGCTATATGCAAATTAAACGCAGCGAAGCATGTGAATATTCAAAGCTCTTCCAATCCGGCGGTGATGTTCACCAACGCTAAGCTCGGTATCAATACATGCGCTACCTGCAACCAAACATACACCAGGCAACTTCGCGTAACTCGCGTAACATACACTTCGGATATAGTTGTACATAACCGTAAGTTTACTATTGTGTGAACAGGTATATGTGTGTTTGGTTGCGCACACCGATAGTTAGTGCCCGTTGGGTTGCTTCATTCACACAGACTTGTAAACGCGCATTTTCTCCAAGCTATTGTTTCCACGCGAAGCAAATATTGGAGGAGGAGGTGGAAATAATAAAAGCGTTAATTAAAATCTGGGATTACGCCGGCAAATCTGCAATTAATTAATTATCCATAGTATGTGAGGAAATCTAATAATAATTTACTAATCTTGTTTGAGTTTTCGGGGAAATTAAAATGTCAGTTCTAAAAAGAAATAATAATTAAGCACTGCCATGAATGATATCAAAACCGAAAAGGCATGAAATTATCTCCTTCCTCAAGGATGGGGTTGGATTGGGGCGCAGGTCGAGGAGGCGGAAACCGGCCGTCTCTGGCCGTTAGATAATTGACAAATACCAGAGAACGTAATTAGAAAACGTGCGAGACGAAATTTATCTCCCTGGGATCTTGCGTCGCGCCCATCTTTTGCGCGCTCCGTCTTCTGCTGGCCACAAGGGGCTCGCTTTTTAGTAGGCCAAACGCGCGTGGACCGAATTAATCAATAAATACGAGCGCCATGCAGCTGAAACAGATGTTCAGGCGGTGCGATGTTACCAAGGTCTTAAAATTTATGTTTTAATTTTAAAATTGTGTCAAAAAATTGTTTCGAAATGAGATTTATTTCATCGTCATCCGTCTGGTGATCTCGTCAAATCGAGAAAATCGTCGAAATCGTTGAAATCGCTGGATCGGTTAGGGAAACTGCTTTATTCTTTATGCACACGCTCCGCGCGCAGTCCAATTTCTAGCGATGTGTAATAATGTAGTCCCGAAATCATCTTAATACATCCATTTCCTACCCTTATCAAACGAACGACGCCGATCCCTTTTCGTCCTTTTCGCCCGGCCGCACGACCGGATTGCTCGCACCCGGGGGCGATTGATAGATGATTTAAATTTTTACTCTCGTCGACGATCTGCCGGCTGCAGATAGGATTGATACACTAGTCGCCGACTTTGTGAATTCGTGTTCTATTGTCACACATGCGTCCCGTGCATAAAAAAGGATAAAATGGTGAATAAAATGAATCATTTTTGAAAAAAATTCTACGTTTATAAAACAAAACTTTTTATTCTACTAATTTCAGTAAACTAGTCTCTATCGTAGTATTTTATGATCTTTTTTCATTAATCTTTTTATAGCTGTTTTATTATCGGTGAAAAATTGATGTAAAAAGTACATTTCGAGTAATATTTAGTATTACACAATCACAACGTGCAATGGACACGAGACAAAAGTATTCAAATGGATATACCTGTTTTATACAGCTGAATAACAAAAATGTTGAAATTAAATCGTTATTGCGAATCGTATTCATTGCGCATACAAAGCTCGTAACTAGTTGTTGGTTAATAAAATTACATTTTGAGATAGAAGCTGAAATTGATACATATCAAATTAAATGATAAAAAAATAAAACGAAATATTAAAAATTTACCGCGCTAAGTAAATTTAATGTATTAGTATTTGCATTGTTTGAGTTTTTGAAAGATGGCTTTGTCCTGCGCGCGTCGTGATGAAGAAATGAAGCCGCCGAAGACACGATACATTTATTTATGAGCCGTCGCCACCGCCACCGAAAAGATATTTACATAGGACGAGCGAAAATGTTTTCGGAGGCATTATGGAAAAGCTATCATGTATGAATTTTCTTTGGCGTAATAAATTGCAGATTGTAATGCGCCGCGGGTTGCCCGGCCTGACTATGTAGATGTATTCCACAACAGGCGCAGCAACAGCTCGAAAATATACCGCGCGCGGCCTAAAGAAGGTGGCTGGTGGCGTGCATGTGGCGTGCGTATCTTATGCATTCAAACTAAATCGAGGGCGCTATCGTTTTGCGGTCATTTATCAATAGGAGCGCGCGAGGAGAGCGGAATCCAGTCTTGACGCCGTGCCAACTGGCTGTGTCCGCGTCTGTAATTGACTTATTGGCCGGAAATGAGTGGTGGATCGATAAAGACCAGCCAGTCCGAGGCGGTCCAAGCAGCTCAAACTTTCAAACCGCGCTCTAAATCCTAACTACCTAACTACCTTAACTTGAAAAAATAAAACCGACAAAAAAAATCAACCGCCAACAAAAAATATTGAATTGATTTTTTTTTTCTTTGAGAAAAACTTTAATAATACCCGAAAAACATTTGGAATATTTTTTTACCAAACTGTGAAAGTTTTTTTTCGTTATTTTTTTATTACAAAGTTCCGCACGGATGCGAACGAAAGATTATATTGCTCACCTTCTGGCACCGCGCTGGATGTGAGCAGAAAATTGACGCAGGCTGCACCTGTGCCATGCCCAACGACGGTGACATTGGTCGGATCACCGCCGAAGAACGCGATGTTCTCCTGAATCCAATGCAGCGCCGCAATTTGATCCATGAGGCCGTAATTCGCCGGCGACTTCAAGTATGGATCGGTGTTGGCGTTTAAAAAACCTGCGAAAAAACAATGTTCAACAAATCGTTACAAATTGTTACCATTAATGTGTTTGCTCAGTGTTGTTTGTAGATTGAGTTTGAAAAATTGAATTTCGCTACACAACAAGCTTGTAAATACAATCCGTGAGCATTAGACGCTTAAATTATGCATCGCAAATAGAATTTGTGTCGGGGCGCTCGTCTTGGCGTCGACATTAAAAGAATTAAAAATGTACGTGCTTGCGCTGTTGTTGACGCGATTCGTTTTCTTTGCGTTTTTGTTTTTCGTTTTTATGCGACGCGCTCCACGTCGACGTAATCAGTTTAGTCGAGTCGAGATTAAAACCTAAGACGTCAAGCACACAAATGACACAATTCGTTAACATTCTGTGCGCGCACATCTGTTGTACATAGGCAACATTACAAGCAGCGTCAGTTTTACTAACCTAGCAAATGTACTCATAACTTTGTTTATTGTATGTTGGGTTGTCTACAGACGCAGCAACATTGTGCAAAAAGTTAAAGCACCGAATTATAACATCCAAGACAAAAGTCCGCGTGGGTGAGGGAATGTAAAACCGTGTGGAAAGGCAAATCCCAGAAGCAATCCTCCCAAACCTCCAACCTTTGGATTCGCCCGTTTTCGAAAAGTTCTAATTTAGTTGCTTGGAAAAGTTCGTTTTGGCAAATCCTGTCTTCCGCTGCGCTCGCGTCGAGCAGGTAGCCAAAAACACACCGAACTTATACAATCTTACATTATCTTATTATTATTATTATTGTTTGCAAAAGTTTCTTTCGGAAATTACGGATTTAAATTTCATGATTTAAATTCGTTTCAAAATTTATTTTAAGAGAAATCAATTTATTGATTTAAGATTGAGGAGGGATGCTATTAATTGAAGGGAAGACTAAGGCTTGTCAGAGCGTCTACATAAAGTACACATGTCCGGGTCAGGAACCGAACGCCCGGCGCCTCCACCATACGCGACACGGCAGTTTTGCCGGTAAAAGAACAGCGCCAGTCGCGCAGCGACGACAAGGAATTTAATTTAGAAAGTTTTTCCTGTGATGTCGTCGCCGCCCGCGAGCGCAAGCAAGTAAGACAGTGGCGCGGCGGTCTCGCCTCTTTCGGAATTAAGTTTTTCGCCAAATTGAACTAAAGGCAACTATTCACCAAACTGATTTAGGGCGATTTGGGCGCTGAACCTCTTCCTGATCAGTACTTCTCACTGTATATAAGCAAAAAAATCTCTGACGTCTTTCGTTTTTCCGGTCTTCCGATTTCCGGAAGTTGCGAGAATTCTGCAAACCGACGCGGAAACGTAAAAATAACCCGCGGTGTTTTTCGTCTCATATTCGTTTATTGCTTTGCTCGAGTTTGCCGCGCAATGTTGGTTGCACTTGCGCATAGTTTTTGATTGTTAGATTGGCGAATTGCTCAACCACATAAAGTCTGAAATAAAATTAAAAAAAAAAAAAAACATAAAAACGCAAGAGTTGTTTCTTTGAAAATAAACTAAAATTAATTTGGTAATTGTGAAGTTTTGAGATTACTTAATATTAAAATGTGTGGCGTACATACATTACGAAATTATACTCAAACCGGTTTTCCGGGTTTTGTCTCATAAAAAGGACATTGTGTTACTTTGCGTTGCTCGTACGCTTCAGAATTTAATTCAATTTAATGCGCGTACACGTTACCTGCGTAGTCACACACATACGCCTAAATTTATAAGTGTGCGTATAAAAGCGACATTGCATGCACCCACTCGCACCACATCGTCACAAGGGCTAAGTTAATTCTTCATGCGCCCAAGCGAGCTTCGACGGCGCGGCCAGTGTGGTCGGAGCTCGGAAATAAAACGCGAACTAAAAGAATTTCATTAAAAAATATTACCTACGCGCCGGATGCGTCCGAGTGGCTAATAAAAGATGCAAACACGCGGATGAAATATTAAACCAACAATATGCAATGCGAGGAAATTGGAAATTCTATTACTTTTGATTTTATCATTACTAAAATAAGTAATATTCATTTATTTATTAATTAAAGAGTCTTTAAAGTTGAAATACACTTCGTAGTTACATTAAAAAGCGTAATTTATGATTGCACTATATCGAAGACATTATCTTATCGCAAGTCTTCAAGCATTTCGTTCTATGCAATTCGTTGTTCAATATGTTCTCTTAATACTTCATAAAACAAGTCTGAAAGCACGAAAATCACGAGCAGGAAGGAGAAGCACAAAACCTTTTACTTTGTAGATCGAGAGAACAACGCATCGCGATAATAATGTCATGACAAAGAGTATAGAACACTTCAATCTTTGACTCGAGTGTTGAGAGAGTGCGATAATCGCATATAATGAACACTAGCGTGTTTGCAAACTTAGTAAATTACTAGTAAATTTATTCTAGTTGTTATACTAGTGCTGCGAAACAAAATTTTATGTTTTTGAGGTGTAAATTCTCGAGATCTTTTGATATATAAAGAAAAAATGTTCCACCTACGTGTTTACGCTGTTAGTAAAAGTAGCGATGTGAGTTAGCCAGGTATAATATAATGGCGGAGGAGCGGCAGAGAGGAAATCCTTAACCAAGACCCCCGAACCCAGAAAAGACGCGTAAACGTAATGAGGCGTTTTAGGTCTTTTTCGTTATAAATCTCTTCGTTTCGTTCGCGGCAGGCAAAAAATGATTTACGTGCCGACGCTCGGGTTTTTTTTCTTCACCACTCCCGTTTTCAACGTAAAGAAGAAGCCTTAGAGAGATTTTTTCGACGGCGTGTCTGCCTGTCACAAAGAAATCGCGCTAAACGCAGGTATTTATTATTTGTATAATTTATTTTCATTTTCTACGCGTTCGCGTTTGCGTGACGAGAGCAAATTTGTTTGTTTGTAGATACGAACTAATGAAGCTATTAATTTATGTCTGCCTGTTTTTGCAACAGAGAAAAATCTACTTGTCTACATTATTCTTAGGCATAAAGAGAATTTTTTTGCGGGTAAGTTTTAATTTATTTTCGATAGATGGCGCGATAGGTACGTGTCTGTAATTTAATTTGACGCACGTAAAAGATGATTGTATGATTGTGAACGAAATTGAAATGGACTTTAAATTTTTTTTCTTCTTGAGGACTTTCACGCGCGGATTGCGACGACCCGGAATAAAAATGATATACTGAATGGGTCGGTCGACGCGGGACGTCCTTGTGTGACCGAGCGCATGATGTAGAATCAGTCGGATTTGAGAGATATTGGAAGTACGTGAAAAAACTGCGAAAATGCACGCCATTCGAGCGCGTCGAGTTTCCTCTTTATAAAATCCTACAATCCTAGGTCCAAAATAGAGTAAAAAATAGATAATAATAAGTACCCACACGTATCAGTCGCAGAAAGAGTCCAAAAATGAGGACGAGCACGAGGACTTGAAAATGATCTTGACGTTGGTTTGTTGAAGACCAAATTCAATTTTATACCGCGGGTTTTTGCTTCTACACTAGAATTTCGCATGTGTCATGCGTGCGGGTTTACTTTTGCTCTCGAGGAGGAGCCGCAAAGACGCCAAGAAGCGGAAAATTTCTCGTTGCCATAAAACGCCGACTTTCCCACGGCGCGGCATTGCTCGTGTGCACGTATTACAAACCGGAATACCGGAAAACTCCCGAAAAACACGCAAAAAATGTGGAAATGGGAAATGGAAATGGAAATGAAAACGCAAAATGGAAATGTAAATAGAAGAAAAGCAAATTCTCTTTGCATTCCACAACTAACCACAAAACGCACACGACACCGTTATTTGTGGTCACATTTTTTCCTCTTTTCCCGCATGCAAAGAAACTTGCTTGATTTTTTTGGGGGTTTAAACTTTCAAGTGTCCATTATTGTCGGGGCACGTTATAATGAGAACATGTTTGCCTACCGGAAGGGGAATATTCTTTTCTTCAAAGTATTTCGGTTCGCTCGCTATAAAGTTTTGCAAAGTTGAATTTCTGGAGTGCATCAATAGATTGCTCCGTGCAGCCGGCACAAAGGGGTGACACAACGCCGAACGACAACAACATCAACATCGACATCATAAACGTAAGTTTCGAGCGTCTCCGCTGGTAGTAAGAGTCTGGGGGGAAGAAAATTTGACTCTCAAAGCAGTTTTCGCTGCTCCGCTCACTGAAGTTAGTTGTATTCAGCGAAGTTGCCGAAGCTGCTGTCAGAATGGCGTTGTTAATGTTGAGTTTAACAAAGCTTTCGGGTACAACAACAAACTACAATCAACAAAAATGGTTTAAATGCTTTTTTTCACATCGCAAAATCATTAAAATTCAGATTTAGAGGTTTTTGTGGTTATGTCCAACATAGATGGCGCTGGTATTAACAAGTTTGTTGTTTCCTTGTTAGAAAGTCTTTGAAAGTGAAATCTTGTAACCCCTTTGGAGATTTCATTCTTTGCGCTCAAGTTTTCAGCTGGAAAGTTATTCGCCTGGGCGGAAATGAAACGCTCGTAATATGCAAATTAAGGTAACCTTATTGCCGAATCCCCGATTGTACGTTCGTAATTTAACTCGGCGGCAGCGCGGCCGCTGTAAATGGTAATGTTAGACGATGCCGGCAAACACGCGCGCCGCCTCCACACACATACACAGACAATACCTACTCCAGCTGGGTGTGGGATGGGCAAAACGTTGACGAGCCTGGCTCCCACAGCGACAGCACGACAAGTTTATCGGACGCAAATAATGCGACCGCCCCCATCAGGAGCAGCTACTAGGAGTACCTACACCTGGCTACTTATCACGCTGTCCAACTGGGCAGGACCAAGCCAAAAACGACATCGAAATGGCACGATAAACCTATCAACTTGGGAAGCGGTGGCTAACTTGTAGAAATCTCATATACACGCTGTTTTTGTTTTCTGTAGAAACGAAATTGATTGATGCAATCGATGACAGTTTAAGAGGGAACCATCGAAGCACTCATAAAATGTAATTGAAAGCCTGTCGTTTCGTTGTGGTTCCTTCCGCCTGCCGCGGTTATTGCTGCAGTGTTGCGATGTGTCGGAAAAACCTTGAGAAAAACGAATGGCAGAAACGTGTGCGATATATCTTGACGGTCCAACGCCGCGGCTGGTGTGGTTGCGTTCACACCTCGTTGCCTTTGGAATCAACACAACGCACCAATCATTTTTTTTCATAGGAAACAAAACGTTTACTTTACTGCCTAGGCAGTCAAGTAATTACAGGGTGTTGCATAGGAATGTATAAGATATTCACAATTTAAAGTAAAAATATTCTTTGAATAACAAACAGACTTTTCTGTGCTAGGAAAGTGACAAAAAGAAAAGAAAAATCTTGAAAAAAAAAAGGAAACGGATAGCAATTTAAATCAACCGGAATTCCAGCATTCTTCCGCGATCATATTACATTTGTTTCGAGTTTGTCATGTTTCTTCCAACCGCTCTCTTGTCGTCTTCCAACAGAATTCTGCTTGTTTCCTTTTTATATCATCCAGCGAGCTAGTGAATGTTATTATAGCAAGAGCGAAAGGACCTGGATGAAATCTAGAGTCACTCAGAACAAGACTTTCTTTAATAAAATGGAAACGCGCCGAATAATAAAAGGATAAAGAGGATACAAACACATAGAAGTAATAAAAGATGGCAAACAAGTGAAAGTTGTGCGTTTTTTCGTTTTCTAAAAATATCCAGACAATTTTACAAATAAAATATTATATTTGGAGGTTAGTTGATGAAGGTATTATTATCAACGGCATATTTTAACACGAGACCGGAAGTGATGCTGAATAAATCTCCGTGGATATTATATTTTCCTTCCTCTGACTTAGTTTTTTTTTTGTGAGATTTTGTTTGGCATTTGTTCTTGCGTTAGTCCAGAGAAAAAAAAACACAAATGGATTCGATTTTCGATTTTCGTCGGTCGCTCGCTCAGCGAAAAAAAAAGGAGCAATGGCGGCTTTTCCGGCGCGAAACGATGCGATGCGAAGCACAAACTCATAAATAAGCGAAGATTGCAATGAATATTAATAAATTTCCCCGAAACATTTCAAAACATTCGAAGACATTTCAAGAATTCCACCGGTATTAACCTATCCCGATCTGGGTTAACTACCTTTACAACTCAATATTTCTGTGTTTACGACGAATATATTATTGCGTTCCGTGATACGATTTGGTTTTGCGTTTTGCTCGATTGTTTTTTCTTTTTTGTTTGCTCGTGGTTGTGGTTTATTTGTTGGTTATGAACGTTGCGCGCTCATTATTTACGTAATATAATTTATCGCTTTCTTTTCGGGTCACGGACTGCCCGGAAGGCGAAGCTCATATGTTAAATAAATGGATTATTATTGCACTTAGATAGTTTTGGCCTCGGCGGGGATGCAGCGAGCCAAAAGCAAGCCAAGCGTGCTTGGACCGCGCGTGGCACCGAATGAAAGATCCCTTCCTCTTGCGCTATATAGGGTCTTCTTCTGATGCAGCTGAGCAACGCGACGGGGCCGGGTGAGAAGCCGGCGAAGAGTAAATGCCGGGAAAACTTGAGTAATTTCCGAGTTTACAAACACCGGGCGCCCTTATTTTAAACTATCCGTTTTGGCACACGCCAAGCAACCTCTAGTCTGCCAAGGATCTTCAAAAATTCGCTGGGAGGCAGGAACTAAACAAGAAAGTACTAAACTACACTAAATTTTAAATAATTCTCAACAAAAAAAAGTGAACTTAATGCGCTATACGAGTACTGTAATCTGCCGGTGTGTGGAATTATTAGCGTGAATCGTAAACCAGATTTCTGAAACTGTAAATTACGTCGGTGGTGGAACACGATGCAATCCTTTATTTACTCAGGAGTTTCGTACGCGTATTATGTTTGCGTGGCGAGCGCAAGCAGGGTTTGCTCACTCTATTAGATTTTTAGCTAAACTCTTTAAACAACATTGCAAAGCTTGCCAATGACAATGCGTTGCAGACCGCGCAAAGCCGGAACAGGAAATTCGCTAAATTTACAATCTAGGAGCGCCATGGTGGACAAAACAAACTTTTGAGAAAAGACAATTCGGTAAAAGTGGAAAAATGCGACTTTACATTGTAAAATCCCACTTAGTTCTTCTTTATTTCGTTGCTTGTATTAATATCACCTTTAATACAAAAAAGAAAGGCTTATAATGTAATGTTGTATCGCAAATGTTTAGCCGTTGAGACATTTTAACTATCTCCGCGAAGGTGATTAAATTAAGCAGGCTTTTAATTAAAGTCTCCCGTAGTGCAGCCCGCCCGAACTATTTACGCTATCGCGACGTGTCGCGCTCGCGGCAATTTGCTCGCCATGCTCGCCATTAACATCTAATATAGTCGGTGTATTTATAGTCAGTGTAGCTTTTCACTAGCCCCTCACTACCTTTCACCACCTTAGGGGCAGTACTTGCCTAGTATGCCGAGGCGATAGTTGATGGTGACGACGACGACGCCACCGTAGCTCGCCAGCACGCTACCGTCGTACGGATTTCCGGAATTCCATTCGTAGCTTTCGCCGTGGATAAAGACAATCACCGGATACTTTGGTGAAGAATTTCCTTCTCTTGTCCCGGCTGCAAATACAAACAAAACATCTTGTTAGCATCAATACTCATCATAAAACAAATATTAGAAGCTTTAAATTGAGGTTATGTTGGTGTAGTTGTAATGTTTGACAAAGTGGTTGAAAAACACGTTATCTTCTGCAGACTTATCTTTGTTCAGTGTTATTTCGATTACTCTTCCGTTAAATGTATGCGCATGATTTATGTGACAGATCGGCGTTTTACAAAAGGTAAACAGATACGTGTGCTCCCCTGACGGTTTGTTCTCTCCTGCAGAAACACAATAGTCTGGTATCGACGAGGGTGGCGAACGCGAACAAGTGTAACGACATAAAAATGCAATCATTTATGCACGCCCGGCTCGATTGCAAGCCCCGAGTCGGCGAGACGCTCCGATGCAACGCCGAAACGGGGATTACCCGCCTAGCGCAGCGCTGCGGTGGGAATACCTACATAACCTCAAACTCATGACTACATAACCTCAACATTGTACTACTTTTACGTATGTGTGTATTGTAGATGGGTGTGTATAGAGAAACAGGATATGCGCGGAGCGAAAACCGTTTCCGGTAATCCGATCCGTTTTGGATGGCCGCTTCATTATCGTTTTGCAAAGTTATATCGGACGAAGTTTACGTGTATGATCGATGCGTCGGCAATCGAAGCGGCGGCCATTGTGCCTTTCGGGGTTTCAACCGAATTGGGGGGTGGTTGGCAGCCGCCATGGGTTGTTCACATGTTCACATGTGGATGATGATGAGTGGAAAGCACGCGAAACAATCCCAAAACAAACCGGGCAAAGATATACAAAAGCAGCCAGAGGCTTGTGGGCTGGTGATTGCACAGGAGAGAACCAATAACGAATACAACAACCGACCACATCACAACAAGAAGATCCGAAACAATACATTATACGCACTGTTCGATAAAAATATTATTCCAAAACATCCATTGTGTAATTTTAGAGTTGCGCATTGTATGCTAACGTTGATAACGTCATTAATAGACAGCAAACAAACAAAGACGCAATTAATCCATGTTTTCACTGATATTTCAAGTACCTATTTTCTGGCACAACTCAATAATACCGGTGGTACGAAAATAAAAATTTATTGTCCTCGTAGTGAATGAGCGGCGGCGGCGCGCTGCTCTCATGTTATAATCCCGCCGTAAAAACGCAATAAAATCGCGCCGTTTCGAAAACTGCTAAATGACCCTAAAACGCGCACCGTAATCCACAGAAATCTGCACAAAGTGCCGAGGCGACGTACAGCGCACCAGTCTTATACGCCCGGAGGCGGCAATGCATTCATTGTAGGATTACTTAAATTTCGCGCATTCCGCAAATAAATGTGGTGTTAAGGCATGATTAAACTCAAAATCATGACGGTTTAATTGCGGTATCAAAAAAATAATCATAAAATTACATACAGGCGGCTATAATAGGTTTAAAGTGAGGTTAGGTCAGCGACGTTCTTGTATTTCGCGCGATTTTCGTCGAGAAACTGCAAAGTCCTGCAAAAGACGCCCAACGAAAGTTATATGCGTCTACAGCCGGCAACCGCCTCCATCGCCGTGTGCTGCGGTTGACACTTGGCGTCGCCACACATATTTTATTAATAAATTGCGTTGGCATTAATATTTGCGTTTAACGTCAGCTACAACTCTTATTCACGCCTAATTTATGAATAATAGAGTATAAATATTAATTTAAAATAAAATTTTTGGATAGTTACACAAATTTATACTCGTAGGCTTGTCATAACAGATGGCGCTGTGTCCAGTTTACATAGCGTGTTATGCCACTAGTAATCTGTTAATTTGTTTACTGCCTGTAATCCATCCGCAAACATAGCGCATGCGTACACATGTATAATGAGTAGCCTACTTTAGTCGTGCTGGTCGTTTTGTTTGCGATTCGTGTGTGTCGATTGTTGCACATTGCACACGTCATTTATCCTTCAAGTCCTTCAAGCACACTGGCAGTTCATTACCGTCCTTCGCAAACTGCTAATTTACAAATGTGTGTATCATTTGCATGTTGTTGCATGTCTGAGAGGCCGGCAACCCAACATACAATTGACACACTCGTGGTGTGATCGATTTTCATGCTGCGTGACAAAACATGTATCTGTGTGTGTTAGGATCAGATGATTGATCGCATTTCGCGCGTCAGCCATTTGAATTATTATAAATCTTGATATGGATACCCAGGGAAGAGACGAGGAAAACTCCGAATGAGCGAATGATTCGCATCAAAAAGCGTTGATTAATTAAGGATTGTTCTGCGTGGCGCGCACGAGCTCTTGTGTCGTTTGTTATTCAAATCATTCATTAATTATTCAAATCTGTTAATCCACACATCTATATATACATATTTGAATGCGGTGTGTGCAATATATATCTACCGAATGTTTAATAAGTTGTGGAGAAAAATTATAGAAAATAGAGTGACACCACAGTAGAAAATAGAAAAAGTTGTAGTGTGTTGCGTTAAGTAAAAACTTTCAAAAACGATCCGAGCGCTGGGCGTGATCTGCTCGAGTTTGTTCGGCGATGTCGATCTATTCAATTTTAAATCAATCCGCCCTTCGCTTTCAACCGATCCAAGCGTACAACTTTTGCGTTAAAGTTTTCCAATAAAAAGTTTCTGCTTTGTATCTTCGCGATGCACCAAATAGAAGTAGTGCTTTAACTCTGAAATTTACAAAAATTATAAACAGATTTTTTCTCAAAGCTGCAAATTTATAGATTATCCTGTATAAAAATGAGTTTGTTCATTACTTTATTATTTATGATTGCTTTGGGTTTAGGCGTTCATAAACTGTCATTATCTATCCCTTTAATATTGAACCAACCACATTGGGAATAGAGAATGCATAATAATAATGTGATTATGACCAAAATGAACAATTCGAGGGCTTTTGATTGAGTTTAAATGGATTACAACACAACCTACACTCAGTTGGGATATTAGTCAAATATGTGGCTTTAATAAAATTGATAGGTGTAATATTTTTATCCACTTCGCATTTTAAAAACAAATATTTCATTAATGATTTACATGCAAACAGTCGCATTAGTCTAAAACCAACAGCGGATAAAATTCAGTATTATATTCCAATATAATAACATAATAACCAGCTTATGATAAAATGCACGCAATTTTTTCCCCTGTTTTAAAACTCTTGCCAAGCACCAATTAAATCTCTGCGCTAGTAATTACGTGAAAATTGTGCTTCACTAACGCCGTTAATGAGAACAATAATGAACCAATTCAGAAAACAAAATCCACAAGCACGCACTTAAACGTCAGCAATAAACTAAAAACTATAAATCAATTATGAGCTCATTATAGAAAAGCGAAAATCTTTAAAGAAAAGAACAAAATGAACAAGGCGAAGTCATTTCGACGGTGTAGATCGTGTTGTTAATTAGTGGCAGCGGCAGAGGCAACGTTCATTGTGAAAACTATACACGCTCACACTCGACATACTCAAACATGGGACATACAGGCGAGCGATTGTGATAGGTTTTGTCGCTTGAATGTGGTCTATGTGTGTGAGTATGTGTTGTGTTGAAGGACTCCGACGAGACGCAAGTGTATATCGAGTGGGTATTGTGTTCATTTGTCACTGGCGGACAATGGCGGCCATTGTTTATGATGTGAACAGCGCGTCGCGGCAATCGCGGCCCACTTCAATCTTCGTTTTTTTTCCTGCGCGCGCGGGGAAATAATAGCCTAGCGAGGCAACCGCAGAATTGTGAATCCATGCGGAGGAATTTATACACACATGGGGCATTGGGGTGGTGTTAGACTCATTATGACGAAGGCAAACAGGCACTAGTGCTATTATTATTGAAATCACAATGAGAGTCTTAATGAAGAGCGTTTAATTATTTTTAAATTGAAAAATATGTTTAGAAATTATTTTGTTTGATGTAATTTAAGACAATTAATAAATCAACGGGCTAATAAAACGCTTCTGACGGTTCCAATTTACGCAAATTAAAGATGAACCTCTCAAAGTTCGAATTATGTACATTGTGGTGGCTGGCAGCAGGTCGCTGAAGGAATTTTCTTTGCCTTTGTTGACCGCAATCGCTTTGTGTCTACGAGGGACTCATTTGAGAACGGCGCTGATTAAAGCTGGACCTCATTTGTCGCTACTAGCATGATTTGGTTTGGTATGCTATAAATTAGCGTACGGGTAAAAGCTAATATTATTGCAATTTTAAAACTAAATTAAAACATTTCTAAATAAACATTTGTTTGCGTTTGTAACGCTTATGAGTAGTTTTTCGTTATGTAAATTACGCTGTTTACTTTTCTTTTTAATTAAAAACTTTTCCGCACCATTTGTTCGCGACATGCGAGCCGCGCGCGCGACTTCAAACCGTGTGCCCGATAATATTTCACTTGCGATTCGACGCACATATGTTAAACCATGCCGGAGGAAAATAACGAAAAACACATTAATATCGTTAATGGAGAGTGCATATATGTACATTCACATATGGAAAGGCGCGCGCAAAAGTTGGAATAATAAATTCGGCGAAAGGAGCGAAAATATCTCGCCGGCTGGAAAATGCGAAACGGCAAACGAACGGCGGAAGGCCAAACCAAACAAATGATATTAACGCGCATGAAAGGCATATGCGTTCATAAATTAATGAAAAATTTACTCGTTTGTCGGGGAATTGAGCAATTAAATTAACCGAAATTAAAGTAAATTAAATTAATAACATGCAACCCTCAAAAATATTTGTTTTTTACGTCTACCAACTAAATTTAGGTAATTTCAGTTTTATTTTTATCAGTGAGCGTCAAAGTACGTTGTTTATTTTTATTTTTACGCGTCTCGCATTCGTATTTATCCATTTTATTCCCGTTCGATCTGAGGCGTTTTTACGACGCGCGATTCATGCCCGGAATATATTAAAACAGTCCATACATGAATTCATATTTTTTATTCATTCGAAAAGTTCCGACGTATGTTCGGTGTTGC